TCGTTCGCGTCGGGACGCGGATCGAGGATGCCGACAACGGGCTCGCCTTTCATGAAGTCTCGACTCCGAGGGATTCCACAATTAGCAGATATGAATCGAACCGGACGTTCTACAGCCGCAGCGGGTATGTGGCTGTCGCGAATTATGATACGCGCTCGAGAAAGGCCGCCACGACTGGCCGCTCGGGCTCCGTCGATTTATGTAGACATTGCAGTTGAGGCTGGGGAGAAAGGAAAAAGGAGAAGCCCCAAGTGGGCACCTTTCTAGTTTCCTAGGCACAACCTTTCTAGTTTCTTAGGCTCAAAGCGGGCACTTGGTAATCTGTCAATTCGTTCCATATTTAATCATCTCATCTCTGCTAAAGTTTCTTGGGCATTGGTGCTTGCTTAGTCTGCAAGCAAAAGACAGCGTGAGTTCGTGTATCTGCAAGACCATGGGGATCGCACCAAAAAGGAAAGTGCAGAAGAATAGAGATGTATGCACGAAAGCGATGGGCGATGATGGGTCAGTGGCTTTGTTCATTAAAGAACAATTGGGAAAAAAAAAAAATTTTGGAGCTGAAGGAGATTGTGTTTTGTGTCTCAACTTTTGCTTAACCACAAAGTTCATGCGTCACTTTCGTGGTCTGCACCACGTTGGGGGAGGTCAGCAGACTCAACAATCAGTGGGTAACCTCAGCAGAGATGTTCAAAAGATTTGGTTAGTTTCTTGCTCGAAATAACAATAGCAATGAAGCCCCCACAAAGCAAAGGAAGCATCTTGAGCTAGGCCTCGGGAGGACGAAAAGGGACCCTATGATGCTTAGGTCGATGAACGAAGGGATGGAGAGATGAGCGAGAGATTGATTGACATGGGGACAAAGAATCCTTCCTGAAAAATGTATCGTGGGGAGAGTTTTTCTTACCTTTTCTCTTTGGTTTTTTGAAGGCTAAAAGTGCGCATGGTGGGCGAACTGAGCCGTCCAGCACGAACGGGGTCTAGCCTCCCATACCTTTGAGGTCGGGTTGTGCGTGTTTAGGCCCCATGGTCAGGTCCCGTCGGCCGAGCCTTTTGGAGGCCGCCGGCTCTCTTGGGGCCGACACCCTCGCGGGCTGAGCCACTTCCGAACCGCTTTAGTGGGGCTCGAGCTGTGAGTGGAAGATTGAAAATTATTTGGTACAAGTGGTGTTTTACGATAGTTTTCCAATACCAAGCTAAGTCTGTCTCTTGGGTCTGCCTAAGGTAGATCATGCATGTTGAGACTAGATGATTCAAACGAAATTGCTTTCTTGTGACAGGACTATAACACTGCCAATACCAGTCGAGTCGAAATGACATCGACACCAATTCTTTTAGAGGGGCAAACTCCTAGTTGTCTTTCACTTTCAATCTCTTAGAGTGGACAATTCCATTGTTTTGTTAAAAAAAAAACATGGATTTTTGTTGCCTTGTTGGTATATTTCTCACAAAGAGTAATAAGGAGGGAGAGAGAGAACAAGGTAACAAGGTATGGGAGGGAGAGAAAAGCGTGGCCGGGGATGGCTATCGCAACGGGGTGGTGACACGGGTGGGCAGTGGGGGTGGGAAGGACGTAGCCACCGTCGTGGACTACGCCATTGACGATAGGCCGAGCTCGGGTCGAGTTAAGGTGGGTTTTGTGGCGAGCAATTCAAAATGACGATGGTTTCAACAGGTTCCGAAAAATCGGAGCTGGTGTTCGATGCGTGTGCACAAAACCGAGGAGGATTCTTAAAATTTGTCCCTTACTAAATGATCCCTTGATGTTCCATTAGCCGGAAAGGGTCCAACGTGATGGTCGAAACGCCCGAGATAAGTATACTATCCCGCAACTAGGGCCTTTGACATACGATAAAATTGGAACACCCCCCACCGAATTCATTCGGGCTTTTTAACTTGTGTTATAGCCCAAGGAAGTAAGAAGAAGAAGAAGCAGCATGGAAAGGGGCGTTCAATTACATTGTGCGCACGAGACGACGATGACGAGGACAACAATGCGCCGAGGCCAGGGGTGTAAATGAAAACTTTCTTTAAACTCCGTGCCGAATGCGTAATCATCCCGAATCTTCCCAACGTGTTCCTTCTCCTCTCGGTCGTCTTCTCCGTCGCGCACGCCGACACAACGACACGCAGCTCTCCAATTCACTGGTCAGAATCTCCCATCTCCTCCTCCTCCTCCTCCTGCGATTCCCCAATCCCAAACCCTAAGAAATCCATCCATGTCCACCTCTCCCGACCCGTCGCATGGTTCGCAGACCTCGCCATCCCCGCCCCCACCGAGAAGGCCCTAGAGACTCGCCGGGACTCTGCGCCGCCCTCCACCTCCCCGAGCCCTAACTCGCCCCCCGAGGCACGACGGGCCCGCCCCTCCTCCCGCCGGCGATGCCGCCCGCGGCCGACGCGCTGGCCCCCCGCCGTACCCCCCTCCCCCTCCGCCCCCGGCGACGGCGGCGGGGGGAGGCGGCTGGGGACGCTTGGTACGGCAGCATCCAGTACCTGCTCAACATCTCCGCCATCGGCGCCTCCTGCTGCGTGTTCATCTTCCTCTTCCTCAAGCTCCGCAGCGACCACCGCCGCATGCCCGGCCCGGCCGCGCTCGCCACGAAGCTGCTCGCGGTGTGGCACGCCACGGGCCGGGAGATCGCGCGGCACTGCGGGGCCGACGCGGCGCAGTTCCTGATCATCGAGGGCGGGAGCTGCAGCCTGCTGCTGCTGATCGCGGTCCTGTCGGTCTTTGTGCTTTTGCCGATTAATCTCTACTGCGGAGACGCGGTGTTGAATGATCAGTTCTCGAAGACGACCATCAGCCACATCACGAAAGGTTCTGGATTGCTTTGGGTGCATTTCTTATTCGTGGTCATTGTTGTTGTTTTGATGCATTTCGGTATTAATGCAATTGAGGGAAGATTGAGGGTTACTAGATTTAGGGATGGAAATGGGAACCCGAGTTATCCGGACGCGAGTTCGACTGCGATATTTACTGTTATGGTGCAAGGTTTGCCGAAGACCCTGGGGGTCGATAGCCAAGAATTGCAGGAATATTTCCAGCACAAGTATCCAGGGAAGCTTTATAAGGTAATTTTGCCTATGGATTTGTGTGCATTGGATGATTTGGCCTTGGAACTGGTTAGAGTTAGGGATGAGATTTCTTGGTTGGTCGCGAGGATGGACTCGAGGCTTTTACCCGGAGATGGTGAGGATTTGGAACACGGGGGTGACTTCTTGGAGGGAATGAGGGTTTGGGCTGTTCGTATGTGGAAGCAAGTAAAGCATGTTTGGGATCAGGTGGCAGATAGATTAGGTTACACGGACGAGGATAAGTTGAGAAGGTTGCAGGAATTGAGAGCTGAACTGGAGACCGAACTTACAGCCTATAAAGAAGGGCGTGCACCCGGTGCTGGCGTTGCATTTGTGATGTTTAAGGATGTGTACACAGCAAATAAGGCTGTTCAGGATTTCAGAAGCGAGAAGAAGAGGAGAATTGGGAAGTTCTTTTCAGTCATGGAGTTGCGCCTTCAGAGGAACCAGTGGAAAGTTGAGCGAGCACCGTTGGCTACAGACATATATTGGAATCACTTGGGGTTGACAAAGTTCTCTATGAGACTGCGGAGGGTACTTGTAAATACGTGCTTGCTCTTGATGTTAGTGTTCTTCAGTTCTCCTCTAGCTGTCATCAGTGCCATAAACAGTGCTGGGCGAATCATCAATGCGGAAGCCATGGATAATGCTCAGTCATGGTTGGCCTGGGTGCAGAGCTCGAGCTGGCTTGCTTCGGTTGTTTTTCAGTTCTTGCCGAATGTCATCATCTTTGTGAGTATGTACATAATTATACCATCTGTACTTTCTCATCTCTCCAAGTTTGAGAGGCATCTCACCATGTCTGGAGAGCAGAAAGCAGCCCTTCTAAAGATGGTGTGTTTCTTCCTCGTTAATCTCATCCTCTTGAGGGGTCTGGTGGAGTCGTCACTAGAAAGTGCTCTCCTTCGAATGGGCAGGTGCTATTTGGATGGAGAAGATTGTAAGAGGATAGAGCAGTACCTTAGCGCATCTTTTTTGTCAAGATCGTGCCTATCCTCTCTAGCATTTCTCATCGCCAGCACATTCTTGGGAATATCTTATGATTTATTGGCTCCTATCCCTTGGATCAAAAAGAAGATTCAGAAGCTTCGGAAGAATGACATGCTTCAGCTGGTTCCCGAGCAAAGCGAAGATCGCCCCCTCGAACAGCAGGAAACAAATAGTCTTCGGAGACCCCTGATCTCTGAAACTGTTTACGACACCCCTAGATTCAGTGCTGTTGACCTACCCGGCCAGGATCTTACTGAATATCCGACCAACAGAGCCTCACCTGTGCCAAAGCAGACGTTCGACTTTGCTCAGTATTATGCATTTAATCTGACGATATTTGCCCTGACCATGATATATTCCTCATTTGCTCCTCTTGTGGTCCCCGTCGGTGCAGTCTATTTTGGGTACAGATATGTGGTTGACAAGTACAACTTTCTATTTGTTTATAGAGTTCGGGGGTTTCCTGCTGGCAACGACGGGAGGTTAATGGACTCTGTGTTGAGCATCATGCGTTTTTGTGTCGATCTCTTTCTCCTTTCAATGCTCTTGTACTTTTCAGTCCAAGGCGACTCGACAAAGCTGCAGGCCATATTTACGCTTGGACTGTTAGTGATGTATAAGTTGTTGCCGTCCGATGGCGATAATTTTCAGCCAGCCCTGTTGGAAGGCATACAATCTATTGACAGTGTCATAGATGGGCCTATCGATTATGAGGTGTTCTCATGTCCCAAATTCGATTGGGATACTTATTATAGATAATGCCATTCTCCAATGCTGTTTATTAGCTCATTAACTTGTATGCGTGCTCTCTTTTCTCAATTGCTAACTTGCTTTTCTTGCTGCATTGCTTGGTCCCAGATTTCACATGTCAATACATATCCTGTTGATCTCATCTAGGTTTGTTCCACACCAGTATAAGGGTGCATATGGTGTGGAGTGATCTATCTGTCTGGTTCTTTTTATCATTTGGAGTAGTCTTTTATGGTAAGTAATGGGTAGGAATAGCATACCTAATAACTGCATGGTGATACATTATTTGTGACTTCTAGTTCTCAAGGTAAACCATCTCTCGATGTTTGATCAAGACTAGTTTGTCAGGAATTGATCATTGTCTTCATGTAAGGGCACAAGCATTTGATGTTTTTACTTTCCTTCTTTGATGGAAATATCAGATGGTATTGCTATGAATGGTAACGAGATGCAGCTGCTATACAATGTGCAAATTTCGTTCTTTACGAAATTTTCGACGGTACCCAACGGCTCTTATCTCATGATATAAGTGAGTATCATTATGGATGGTAATGAAATACCCGGGCACGTAACCGCAATTTGCGGCCAAGGTGGAGATGAATCTTCTTAAATAGAAGAGTCTGGCTCTAGAGTTTCTTCCCATCAATAAAAGATGACCATAAACGCTTTCTCAAATTACGAAAGTTAAAGATTTTTCTGCTTTCAAAATAGTCTCCTTTAAATCATGTTTTCCGTGCGAAAGTTTTGAACTTTTTTTGCATCTTTCAAAAGCAGAAAAGACGGGGCACGTTTCTGTTCACCCGAGCTTCCTTCAAACTTACTCTCGTGTCATGTCACCTTCTGAGCACAAGAATTGCTAGGACCCAATTGAAAGTAGGCAAAAAAACACGAGGCGGAGAGACTTTGTAGGATCTCATATTCAACTGGGTCAAAAGTGTGAAAAAAAAGACCAAATCCCTATGTTAGCTCTTAGCCAAGCAGACTGGCTCTCCTTCTTCACTTGAACTGGGTCTAACCTCCAATGTGGCTTCACCATAATCTCTCTCTCGTGTTTGTAACATGTGATTGATGTCGATAAATAGGAGCCAAGTTCTAATCTCCATACACACACACACACCCACAAGTCCCAACACAAATTTGGTTCCGGATTTGATTTTTCGAGAAGACAATGCACCATTTAGCATTGGAGGTCGGCCTGGTCGATCCCCCCACCGCCGAGACAAAAGCCCGCGAGCGTGAGAACGCGAAGCGACCCATCTGTCCGAAGCCCCGACGGCTCCGGTCGGCGACGCCGGACCTCCTCAGGTCCCTCAGATGCAGCAAACACTGGTTCGGCTTTCCCTTGCACTTTTTTTACCTCTAGGATGTGAAAAGGCTCATGAAGGGGTTTGATTTCACCATTCGGGATGATGCAACCGCTCACTTCCAAAATTTTTCCTTTTTTCGATTCTTTGTTTTCGCCTTGCAGCCAGCAGAATGGTGATGGAAGAAGCGCAATAGGGAACCCGTTGGTAGACAAGGTCGGCCTCATTATCCAGGCAGGCGACGAGGACGAAAGCCCGGGTATCGGGTGTTCGCCGCTGCCGTGCGGCGTGGGGTCACCGCCCACGAGGACCGATAATCCGCTGGTTCACGACGTCCGCTTCGTCCACCAGATGGAGCATCTCTCGCCATTCTCACCCGCCAACCTCGCCAACAAATTCAATTTTCCCTCCGCCTCTCCGGTTTGAGACTCCAACGTATCTACCATAGCTCCAGCCCCATTTTTCTTTATTATTATTATTATTTATTACAATTGTTTTGGACAATTCGTGAGATTTTTTGGTTTTCGGCTTATTTTTCTTTTGTAAATATATGAAGATACACGTAAGCTGGGCAATTTTTATTGGACATATATATGAAACCGGAAATTGTGAGCTCGTGGACTTGTGAAGCTGCTTTGGATTATTGAGCTAGGGAAAAAAAAAAGATAAAAAAATTTATAAAAAAATAAAAAGAAAAAAATGGGTCTGCTTATGGAGTTCAATAACAACTATCTGGGAATAAAGACCCAAAAATAAATAAATAAAAATAAAAAAATAAAGGAAAAGTTTGGTTTTGCCCAGAAAAACAAAACTTTAATACTTCAAGCCCATCAAATGTGATAGAGCAAATAATCTCAATTTGGGCCCTAAATAAGAGGCCGTAACAACACATTCCACAAACACCGTCGATGGGATACCTTACGGGCTCCTTGATCTTGAGCTTCCATTAGACGGGGGGCCTAAGTGGAGTACATGAGACGTGGCCACGATCAGTTCGAAAACACGAAAAAGAAGTTGAAGGCCGAGTCAAGGAGGGGCCATCGACCGAGGGCTAACCGTAGCGAACCGGAGCTATTGCAAATCATCCCTAGAGCAACGCGAAAGTCGAGAGGCAGTCCGAGATTCTCGCGGAGAAAGGTCGTGATGTATAATGGAATGACTCGTTAAAGAAACAGGAGGGAATCGAAGTAAGAAAAACACGTCTCTCGGCACATTCATCGTCGACGATACACTAACGAGAAAAAAATTTCAAGAGACATTAGTGTAGGTTTTTCTAACTTCGGTACTCGTCTTTGATTATACTAAAGAATTCCCAATCGTCTCTTGCGAGCTTTTTTTCGCTTTCCCTACACGCTTCATTGATTTCCATTGAGAAGTTTTATGTCCAATTCCAGTTATCGAGCAAGCATGGCATCCAAAAATGTAGGTCATCCGTCCTGATTCAATAAAGTTCCTTGCAAGTTCCCCTTTTTTTTTTTCGTTTTTGATTTACCATCTGCGCATTATTTAAGTAATCCGAACTTTACAAAGTCCTTGAGGCCTGAAGTCATATTAGCATCCATTTGCTCGTATTCGAAGTCAAGCTCCATACTTTGAATCGGTCATCGGTCGTCTTCGATTGGACATCAATCATTGAAACAATTGAGTTTTGGCGACCACAACTTGATAAAAACACACGTAATACATACTCACACGATTAATCTCCTACCAATCCAGACAATAAATCGACTTGGTTTATTCTCGTAAAACAATGACACATAGACATGTATATAAGTGGTCAAAATACACTATAGAGAAATATCAGAATTGACCGCGTTTGATTGGGCTTTTGGAAAAAAGCCTTTGCGGGAAATACAAAAAGATTTTAGGTTAAAAGGGTTTCTTGAAATGTAAATGATTGGTAAAGTGTAATAGGGAAACAAATTTGGTTTAAGTGATGTTTGGAAAAGTCGCGCTTGTAAAGGACGTTTGCTATTTTCTTTTAAAAAAAGAATTCAAACCTCGCACGACCTCAATCAACTCGCGGCGAGGCCGCCATGATCTCGTAGACCATCTATAGGAATTCTAGGGTTTCCAATTTGGGGGTGATTTGGCAACATTAGAGCTTCACCGGTGCCCATCTTGCATTCCATCCGGCGAAGCTTCACCGGCAACCCACATTTGCAACTCGGAGAAGATGAACAGTTCATATTAAGGCAAAATCAGAAGATAGGTCCCCAAGGTAGTCACAAAAGAATTTGCCAAGCACCCCAATTGTTTCTAAAGGGGCTTTAAAGGACCAAAGCCCCTTAGGAAAGAGAGTCCCAAACGCACCCTATGTACCAAAATGATCCTATTAGTATCATACTCTGACAAAAGCATATGCCTAAAATGACAATATTAGGATTTGGCGTACAATCACAAAGAAATAAAAAGTAAAATCGAGAAAAAAAAATCGAGACATAAGATTTTTTTATCTCAATTCACTCATATAGAGCGGAACTACGTGCCTTCCTATAAATAGGGAATATGAATCACGCCCTAATAATATAATCTAATTTTCCATCAATTTTAGCATGTGGGATCTCGTCGTGTTATTCAAACACTATGCGTATAGAAGTTTAATTATGTTATAATAGTCTTACTCACTAAGTCAGCATGATTTGATTTGATTAAAGAATGACCAAGGAGAAACCGAAAGCCCCTTTTGACCGTTGCTGCGCATTTCGCCTCTTTGATTTCCAAGTCGTGCAATGTACTCGTTTCATTTTGGTTCATCAATACCAAGTCTCGCTCTAAGAAACTTCCTTAGTACTTACGCTGTTCCTTTGGGGTTAGTGATTTGCGGAGTCTTCTCTTTTTTTTTTCATTACGACTTTCCGCAGAAATCCAAAGTGGGTTTGACAATACCATCACGAAAAAACACTCGAAAACCATAATTGATGTCTGCCACTTGTCATCCCTGGACAGATGCCGTGTTACATACTCAATCGTTTAATAAGTTCCTCGTGTGGAAATGAATATATGCTCGGTGCAGTAATCCATCGTGATTTTGTAACGGACTTGCACGTGTGAATCAGACGCATGGGAGCAGGTTATAAGTTCTGGGCACTGTCGAATACCAATTATATGTATAGACCAAAGGGTATTATTAGTACGCAGCTGGATAGAGTATTTCGCGAATTTTAGATTTATTTACTCGAGATTTTTACTATACTTTCAAAATAGTCCTCCCGGCGATGCCCTCAATGACCACGGCGATCATTGTAGCCCTCGGCTAGATCCGAGGAGGGCCGTGAGCCTCGCCTAATGATCATGCGATCATCATGGCTAACACTAACCTGGGTGAAGGCGTCGCCATCACTAAAAAAAAAAAAAACCAAAAAAATCGTAAATAAATAAAAAAAGAGAGAAAAAATCATAAAAAAAGAGAAAAAAAAATTATGAAAATGTCATTAAAAAATGTCCATTCGGTGCGTGTTAATACATAAGATGGCCGGCATTCACGTTAGCATTTTTAATCAAAGCGGATAAACTCAATTGCTAAATTGGCAATTTTTAGAACTCAATTGGTAAACTAAAGGTTTATCATTGAATTGATAAAAAATGTAATAAATTTATGACATTTTCGATGATATTTCTCACTCTACGAGTAATGCTACAGAAAATCTCACTAAACAGCGTAACATCTAGCTATGTTTTCACAGTAAAGTTCCGGTGCGTAATGCTCCGACATTCGTGCAAATCGCGATCGTTTTCGTAATATATGTTTATTATTTCTAGGCGGGTGTTTTTTTTTTTTTCCCATAAAGCGTGCCTTTTTTATGGTGAGAAAGTGAATCCGCCTAGCTGCTTTTCTACTTTGCTTTTCCTTTTTGACTTTAAATCGATCGAGTTTAAAGAAAAAAAGGCGAGGCCTTTTCCATGTTTCTTCCGTAAATTGCGCTATAGCAAATGGTCAATCATCGCTTCCTTTCGGATGGGGAAAAAACGCTATGATTAATACCACGAAAAACTCTAAATTAATATAATAAATTTATTTTAAATTAATTTTTTAATCATCAAAAATCTTAAAATAGTATATCCGTGATAAATTTACCCTCTGTTAGTTTTCGTTAAATTTTTTGGATCATGATTTTGACGCGGACGGCTCATGTTAAACGTAATACAATACTTACAATATATACAAAGAATCAGTTTTTCAGAATATTCGAAATAAGTCCGTGTTTCTCTTTAAATTTAACACCACGAAAAATCCAAATAAGTACACTCGTGGTAAATTTATCTCAAATTAATATTTTGACCACTAAATACCTCAAAATTTGTATTCCCGTGACAGATTTACCTCAAATTAATATTTTGACCACCAAAAACTCAAAACTGGTACATCCGTGATAAATTTACTCTCCACCAAATTGGATTGATATCACGAAAAATCACAAAATGATACATTTGTCCTCCGTAAAACCTCAAACAGGTACATCCTTCAATTGCCACGTATCATCAAACCCATAAATTTGACAGTACAAGTTAATGGAAACTAGCAGAGGTTAAACAGGTGCACCGATTCGGGGTTTTTGGTGGTTAAAAAATTATTTTGGGATAAATTTGTCATGGGTGTACCAGTTTGAAATTTTTCGTGAACTCTTTATTTACCCCAATTGATAGCTTCGGGATTTTCGATGGTCAAAAAATTAGTTTGAGATATATTTGTCACGGGTACACCAGTTTGAGGCTTTTTGTGAGCTCTTTATTTACCCGATGGATGGCAATTGGGATGAGGATTAGCGTTAATCAGCGAGATTTTTTTTTTTTCGGCTTGTTCTATCTCTAACTTTTCTCATTCTCTGGCTTTTGTTCAGTCTCTTGCAGAGCGCGGGAATCGAACTCCGCACCTATAATTCTGACGTCCTCATCCACTTAACAGGGTCGCATGCCTATTGGCAAAATAAGTGAGATTAGGTGGGTGGTTATGGATTATTTAATTTTTGCACGGTCACGAATAATCTAATTAGCAAGGGGAAAAAAGACGAAACGGGAGTCCGGCAACAACAAGCACCGTCACGCACCATCATCACGTCACCTTCCGCGTCGTTTATGACGTGGGGGCCCCCCGATCCGTCGCTCGGCACGTCGTCGTTTTATGCGCTCGCCCGTCGCCCGTCGCCCCCCCCAATCCGCTGTCGTTTCTCTCGCGAATCCGAAACCGACAGACAGCAACGCGAACCCCCCCCCCTGGCTTACTGCGCGAATCGACGTCGACCCCTCGGTCTCTCTCGTACCAGAAACCGTGTCGTCCGTGTCCGAAAACGCTTCGTCGTCTACGCCATAATCTCTCTCTTCTCGACCTCTTGTCTCTTCTTTCTCTCTCTCCCTAGAAACGGAGAGGCGACGCGTCGTTTCGCCATCACTCGAGGAGCCTTCACTTCGCCACTTCCGCTCTCTCCTCCTCCTTCTCCTCTCCTCCGGCTGACCAAACTCTCCTCCCCCTCCCCCCCCACCGGAATCTCGCTCCGTGTCGCGCCGAATCCCGTCATGGCGCGCGCCGCCGGCGACCGCTTCAGCTTCACCTCCCCCTCCTCCTCCTGCTGCTGCTGCTCCTCCTCCTCCTACTTGGCCGACTTGGTGCTCTGCTGCGCGATCGCGGCCTGCCTGTGCGCGGGCGGCTGCGACGGCGCCGGGACCTTCGGGTTCGACGTCCACCACCGCTCCTCCGGTACGGTCAAGGCGATGCTGGCCGCCGCCGGCGAGGACGGGCTGCCCGAGGCGGGGAGCCTGGGGTACTACGCCGCCATGGCACACCGCGACCGGTTGGCCCACGGCCGTCGCCTCGCCGCGTCGGCGGCGGAGGTGGATCGGGTGCCCATCACTTTCGACGGCGGGAACGACACCTACCGGATCAAATGGCTCGGCTAGTATGCGCCTTCGTTCTTTATTTACTTATTTATTTATTTTTGTTGTTGCTGTTGCTGTTGTTTGGCTCTGCGTTACTTGTAGCTCTGTAGTATGTGAGTGGAGCGATGAGGTTCTAGCCGATGAACTGAGTGCGCAACCGATGCCCTTTTTAACTTACAACCGCTAGAGAAAAAGTATGGTGGGATTTTTAGTTTTTTTGCTCTTGTTTTACCTTTCAAGCTTGTCGTTGTGGTGGTGAATTTCGTGGGAATCATACACCAGTACCCGTCTTCGATATCAAGTTATCGATTGAGTGCGCGGCTTAGCGGCGACCGGATGGCACCGACGAGAAATATCTTTTTTTTTTATATATCAAAGCGAGCTCTTCTGGGGGGATTCGTGGATGATAACCATGGTCTGGAATATTATGCTTAGATTGGTTGCTGAGGATGAGTAATCTGAAGGGAAGAAGGAAGGGGTGGAGATGATCTTCTCTTTCTCTGGGTGTTTTGTGGTCGAGTTTAACTGTGGGAAATTGGATCATGCACTTGATAATTAGCTTAAATTTTTCTCTCTCAAATAGATTGCCTTTTAGATGCGGGGCAGGGCGGGGCAGAATCCCGTATGCTTTTTCTGTTAAACAGATGTCCTTTCGTTTTATTTCTGTAAAATGCGAGGATTTCTTTTTTGCTGTTGAGATTTCCGCTTGCCTTCTAGAGTGGAATTTTCCCGATTTCTCTGCGAGAAGGTTTTCCTTGTTCTGTTCTTATAGCTACCAGCCTATGTAGGGGACGCTGATGTTTAAAGTCTTTGAGTCTTGGATATTAGCTGAGAATTGTTACTTACGGTGCTTTCTGCATTTTCAGTTTGCACTATGCAGATGTCTCTGTTGGGACCCCAAGTTTATCATTTTTGGTGGCACTAGACACTGGGAGCGATCTGTTCTGGATACCCTGTGATTGTAGTATTAATTGTGTGCATGGATTGAAGTTATCGAATGGGCAGGTATATGCTGTTATGTCCCGTTCATTTTATCGCTTCAAATTTCTGTGGGAAGTTTCTTTTCCTTTTCTTTTTCTGAAGAAGCGGTTCTTGCTGTCTTCTAGGATGATCTTTTTGGCTTCTAATGTTACTTTAATTTATTTTTTAAGTTTGCATATCATTTTTCTGTTTGCATCAATTTGTTCTATACATAGTTCTTCAAAAGATTGTCATTCTTGATTTCAAGCAATTATGTGTGACTAATCTTACCTGGCTGAAAATCATGCCAAAAATCTTTCGAAAGGAGGTATTCAAATGCTATATGAAGTAAAACTTTCTGAAGGTACTAATACATTGATTTGAGCAAGAATTATTTACAGAATAATTTTTGCCAAGCAGGAAATAGATTTCAATATCTACAGCCCTGATGCATCATCATCAAGTACATTAGTTCCCTGTAGTGGCGGCCTTTGCAGGCAACAATTCAGATGCTCTGCCACTCACAACCAATGTCCTTATCAAGTTGTTTATGTCTCTAACGGTACTTCATCCACCGGGATTTTGGTTGAAGATGTATTGCATATGACCTCAGACGACAATCGATCAAAAGTAGTTACTGCTCAGATAACATTTGGGTAGGTATTTGCTAGCTCTTTGGTATAATATGGCGGTCTGTTAGAACTTAATTAAGCAATATCCACATTTGAAGGTTAAGAGTGAAGTCTCAGTTACCAACTTTTATTGCTACTCAAACTTTTCAAATAAACAAGGTGGCTTGAACTTTTAACGAAAATAATAGATGGGAAGACGAGTATATGCTGGTTTCTAAGTGTTAATACGGTTTCTGAATGCAGTACTAACTTGAATTTATTTATATTTTCTTGTCAAATGGCCTTCTATCTCTTTCTTTGGACTTGTTGTGCATGCGTGTGTCCGAAGTTCTTTGGCTGGTTATATTCTATATAATGTCGCTGATCAAGTAAGGCTGTTCCTTGCAGATGTGGTCTTATTCAAACTGGTTCCTTTTTGGAAGGTGGTGCACCCAATGGTCTATTTGGTCTCGGCATGAACAACATATCAGTTCCTAGCATTTTAGCTAAAGATGGGCTTGCAGCAAATTCATTTTCTATGTGCTTTGGGCATGACGGCATTGGGAGAATTAGTTTTGGAGACAAAGGCAGCTCAAACCAAGGGGAAACACCATTTATTGTTAGTCAGTCACAGTAAGAATCATGCTTTTCACTGTATAAAGCTAGAGGCACAATTGCTACATTTAGTAGGGGGAGTTTATATATTCTGTTTTCTTGACTGTGACTCTAAATATTTTGCTTTCATGTTTTGCCAGTCCAGCTTACAATATTACTGTCACACAAGTCATCGTGGGAGAAGAAATTCATGATCTTGAATTTAGTGCTATTTTTGACTCTGGAACCTCATTTACTTACTTGAATGACCCAGCTTACACCCTCATTTCCAAGGCTGTAAGTTAACGGAGATATATCTGATGTTTAATTCGAACATCTAATTTCTTTGCCTTAATGCTTGAGTTTATCTGCAGTTTGACTCCAGTGTCCAAGAGAAAAGGCATTCTTCAGATCCCACTATTCCTTTTGAATATTGTTACGACCCAAGGTGATCCTCTCCAGGAGCTTGAAGTTGAAGTTTTCCAGTTCTTTTTAGATAAACCACAAACTTTTGTTGCAGAAACATCAAAGCAGGAGACCTCTACATGCTCCATTAGATTATGGTTTTCTCCAATTACATCTCTTAGATGTGCTGATTCTTGATATATATATATATATATGTATACAGAACAAATCAAAGCCTCTCTCATACTCCTGTGTTGAACCTGACCATGAAAGGTGGAGATAGCTTTTATGTTACTGAACCAGTAGAGTTGATTTCGGTGCTGGTAAGACTTTTTGTCATTGCCCGTTTACCAGCAGCATGATGCTAATTCTGTCCTTTTTTACAGGGTGGACATGTCTATTGCCTGGCTGTGGTGAAAAGCGGCAATCTAAATATAATTGGACGTGAGTATTCATGACATAAATAATACTGATGCTGCTATTTATGGAAGCTGCATTTACTGACATTTTATTAGCATTTTCTTTCGGCTATATTATTCACCAGTAAGCCTAGAGTTCTGGAAATTCAATGCCATATAAGGAATTTCGGCTTGTATGATAAAAAAATTGGTACTTCTGACTTTTGTTGACTAAGTGGGCCACTCTTCTGGTAATTGACATAGGCAATATCACGGTCATCTTGAAACATACATGAAGATGACATTATACCAAATGCTGATTAATCACTCTCTCAGGAATCTATTCTTGCTTTTGAGACTTAGGACTTGATGGATATAGAGTGAAGTTCAAGGCAATTTTTGGCTCCATCTGTTTGTTGCATACTGTATTACCATGAACCTTAGTCTTTTATCTTTCCCATTTAGTTGGACCATGTTAGAATTTAATCCCAATGCATTGTAAGATTGCGTGAAAGCGGGGCATGATAGTAAAATATTTTCTGGGAGCGTCGGCTACACAATGGACCATGTTCATATGTGGATGACACGATTAATGGAAGATATTTCCTGGATGAACAAGTAAATAAGGGCCTGTTTGGTAACGCTCCAGATTCTCTGATTCGCTGTTCTTTTGTTCCCCGGAACAAAAAAAGAACAGAAATCCGTTTGGTAACATCAGTCAATTTTTTTGTTCCCCAGAATAAAAAAGTGGTCAGGGAATAGATTTGGAACAGAATTAAGAAGTAAAAAAAAGGCTGCTTCTTGATTCTGGGAACAAGAATCAGAAATAGAAGAGATTTTTTTTTTCTTTTTCTTCTTTCCTGTTCTTCTTCTTTCGTTCTTTCTTGGCCGATCCGGTCACAGGCCAGGGCCGGCGAGGGCGTCGCGGCCCTCACCGGCGAGGGTGAGGGCTGGACCCTCGCGGCCTAGGCGAGGGTCGGCGAGGTCGCCCAGGCCGCGAGGGTCCAGCCCTCGCCTATGGCCAGTCGCTGACCATGGCCAAGAAGGAGAAGAAAAAAAAAAGAAAAAAGAAAGAAAGAAATATTAAAATATTTAAAAATATTATTAATAAAAAGAAATTTTGTGCAGTTACCAAATGCATTTCTGTTCTTTTTCTATTCCAGGAATGGAAATTTTGGGCCGTTACCAAACGCCTTCAAATGCTTAGAAATTGTTTCTGGGAACAGAATTAAAAAAAAATCATTTCTGAGCAGAAATTGTTTTCGGGAACAGAATGGTTATCAATCAGGCCCTAAGCAGCCCATGTGCATGCACATAGACAACATTTCGTGCATCTTCCTCTTCAGTAAGAACCGTAAGGTTATGGAGTGACGGGCTAAACCACGACACTTGTGCTTGAACTCTGATCTGTTTATGATGTTAACTTTATACTTGCAGTTCCAATGCTTTTTAATAGCTGAATCACGAGATTGTCGTTTCCACATTGAGCTATTCTGGCGCTGACAATTCTGTTTACTTTTCAGAAAACTTCATGACCGGCTATCGCGTAGTTTTTGATCGCGAAAGGATGGTACTTGGTTGGAAGCCCTCCAACTGTGAGTAACTCTGCTTGACCTTACGAAAACATCCAATCGCGCATCTTGTTGACAATTTGGCGTTAACATTTTTGTTTCCAGGCTACGATGTGAATGACACGTCCATGTTGCCTGTCAACCCGAAAAACACCAGCGCAATTCCTCCTTCTGTTGCCTTCAATCCAGAAGCCACTAAAAGTAGCGGCGACAATAATCGCGATTCAGCGGTGTCACCGCCTATGTTGAGTTATTCGTGGCATCTGCGTCCTTTTACCTGCCTATTAATCACTCTTGTTTATCCATTTTTGGCCATTTTTTGATTCTTTTCCATGCTGAGGCCTTCCTCGATTCCCAGAGGATTACTTATACGGGGGCATTAGATAGAAACAGCAATTTGAGTATAACTATATTAACTTCCACTTCTAGGATCCGATAGCAGAGTTGTTGTATGTACATATATATTAGTTATGAGCAAGATGAGATTGTCACAGCGTTTCGTGATTGAGGATTGGTGTTGTTGATTCGGGTTTCGGATGAGGTGTCTTGTGATCCGAATGATATGATGCTCAGAGATGCTACTGAGATATAGTTTTCTTGGGTCATCCTATACTGTTGTGGCTTAAAACCGCACGGATCCGCAGCCCAGCTTACTGGCTGTAGTCGATACTTAACTCATTGCTCGTCTCATTGTGGTTTTTGGTTCAAGTCTTGCCAGGGGTAATGTTTTTAAACTCGGATCGAGCAATGAACCGGCTTGGCTTCCGGTTACCGGTTTAGCTGGTCCGACCACTTAATCAAAGAGTTGAAACAATTTGCAGACAAAATACACAGTATATCCACCCTTTCTCTTCTCTTTTGTTCTTCTAAAAGGGAATGTTTCACAAATCATTCTCAAGGTCCGTCCTCATATCAATTTACATTCTCAATTTTTCGAAACCTACAATTTGCATCTCAAGTTTTTGTAGCTAAACTTCAAAATGCATGCGCTGTTAGTTGAACTTGGCTGACTGCGGTTGTCATGGTTGTGAAATTTGCTGAAATGACATTTTTATTCCAACAACGCCCCTATGTCATATTTTCTCCAGGCACGCCCCCATCAAATCAGAATAATTCCCTGGAAATGTTGCCTACCACTTCAATACACTTCGATCATGTTTTTTTCTTTTATTTTAGCTACATTTATTGGTCAATCTTCGCCTCGTAAATTTGGTTATTTGGCAAAATATATCCGATCCTGGACTATTTTCTCCACCAAAAAGGAATGTAAAATCAAGTAAAAACATTGCATAATATAGGTCGTGACATTCATTTATACCGGGAAAAGAATCATCTGTCGAGAAACTTTAAAAGCGTTTTCCCTTGAGCAACCAATTTGTAAGGCGAAGCAAATCGTACTTTATGAAATGTGGGGATGCAAATTGATACGGGTGTAAAATGTGAAGAAATTTTTTCGAAAATTTCCCTTTCCTAGAAAAATCAAAGATCCGGCAAAACAGTTTGGCAAAACTTTCATATGTTTTTATTATGAAAAGTAAGTACATTTTAATTAGTTTATAAATCTTCATTAAAACGAAATGGGCAAGTTAGCAAACGAAAATTAAGCTTATTGATTTCAATACATGGAAAACGTTTCCCTTTTGTCGGTTAACTTTATGTCATCAAAACACCGGAAAATCGAAAAATTATTTTCCAAAAATAATTCTCATTCAAGCAAATAGATCTTAAGGGTACATTTGTTTTGCGAAAAGCGAATGTTTTGGAAAATATTTTTATAAAAACGATCATTTATATCGTTTACAAAAATAAACGTACGAAAAAAAATATTCTTATCATCCATGAAAATATTTAGACATAAAAAGTGATCAACTGTAAAAACATCTTTTATCGACTAACTATTTCAAGCGGAACATGTTACTAGAAAAATATTTTATAAATCATTCATTTTTCACGAAACCAACGCGGCCTAAAAGTAAAGTTACAGAGAATGTCCTACAATCAATCAAACCTGCAGATGCTGATTCTCTTAATAATTAATAGGGGATTGTCAAGAAAAAGAAAACAGAAGAATAAACAATTTGGTAACACAAAAACAATGGAATACGACTTCATTTCGACGATGACCCTCTCAGTCTGGCGAAAAGAGAAAGAACAAAAAATGAAGTGACCCTGTAGGCTTGACTTGAGGAGTATACTACTGATGATGTTGAGAATGATACAAGAATGTGTGGCCAGAGACGACATGGAAACCAGAAATAAAACACTAAGCCTTTTTAACCATCTGCACATTTACCGCATAAGATTATCGGAAATTCCTCCGGAGCTCGAAAAGCACCGCATAGAAACCATGTTTCTATGCAGCAGAGGTTGCCGAAGACTGTCGTTTTAAAAACTCATCCGAAACTCATTTTTCCATGTTGACTGTACTAATCTTGATACTTGCTGTTCCCCTGTTCTTTTCACTGTCTTCTGGACTGAACTTTGCCTACTTTCTTTGAGGACTTGCCGTTGGAAGGCAACGGCACTTGCTTGGATTTCATCTTGAGTGATCTCACCAGTGAAGACAACTCGTGCTTCTCTTTCCTTGCGGGCAACACGTCCGGCTTTGGAAGCTCACCTTTCTCACTGTGCAGGTCATCAGGTCGTAAGTCGATGTTTGCCGCATTTTTCTTAGCATCTTTTATCACAGCCTCTGGATGATCGCCCTTCTGCTGTCTCTGTGCTACCTGCCGAGCATAAGCCGCGCTCCTGCAACAAGCAAAACAGAAACTATGAACACCTACAGAAGCTATTAATGAATCAAGCCACTCGTACCAGTTGAAGATCTGTTTTCTACAACTATCACTAGCTAAAACTACATGTAAGATAGACCTACACTATCGTTAAGAGGTAACTTCGTCGATCATGAATAATCCTGCCTGCATGAATTCACTATCCCTGAGGTAGGACAACAAAACCAACTGCCTATTTAAGCAAGATCCGACTCCAAAATAAGCTATCCTTGCCTTATGACTTAATCCTGTTCTATGTAATCTTTGGCTTATGAGGGAGATACCTCTTGAATTGTGGATTGGTGGGGTCCAAAGCAAAGAGTGGTGAAGTGAAAAGAGCAGAAAATCGGGAATCGCTATAATCAATGGTTGGTATTTTGTCTTCATCTGGCATTTGATCTCCCTTCTTCCCTTTGACCTTTTTAGTTTTTATTTTATACCCCTTGGGTCCGGTATCAGCCCCATTCTCATCTGCAAGCAACAACTCAAGCTCAGCTCTGCTCGCTTCTCCTTCCCCATCTACATCTTGGCGTTCATTCTCTGCTTTATTATTCTTCCCACGAGTTCCCTTTTTACTTCTCTTAACTGACGGCTCTTCAACAAAAAAGTCATCCTCTTGTTCAATTCCGTCCTCATCAGTGTCGCTGCTCTCATCATCTGATGAATTCTTGGCCTTGTTCCTCCTAGCATTCCTCTTCTCGCGTCCTTTTCTGAGATTCTCCTCCCAAACTGTTTCAGATTTCTTATCTTTCTTCTCTAAAATGCGTTTGCTTAAATCTTCTAAGCCAGTATTAAAAGTTATTTCCATATCCTTGTTCTCGTCCTCCCCATCTCCATCAGAGCCATCACCTCCCTCGAGTAAAGCACGGTACCTATCACGTTTCCTCCCCTTCTTATCAGGTTGATCATCCAAAACACCCTCATCCCGATCGTCATCAGATTCACTCTCATCGGAAGCCAAAAACTCTTTCAGTTCAAGATCAGCTAGCTGTATGAAACAGAAAAATTGGCAATGCAAGGATTATATTCACAATCAACGATTATCAATTAGAAGGATACAAGAAGAAAAAAATAATGAGAATGCATAAACTGCACAGGCAGGAACAATGGATATGGAGTACCAATTAAACTAAAAGCACAACCGCGTAAGTGCACAGACAGGTAGATTTTCCTCGAAAGGAAAGAACCACTGTTGCCTCTCTGTACACATACGATCACTGTTATGCGAATTTGCAATGCCACTTCAAAATTAAACATTCCCAAGATGCATGCATATGCTCAAACCAACTGACACAATCTATTTGTGATTAAATCTATGCCCATGTTGAATATATTATAAGCATATCTGTTGGATGCACAATCAGATTCATGAATAAGAAGAAAAAACATCTCGCGACGATGATCTCCCCACACAGTCTGTACTGATTTGATGCATGATGAGACAAGAAAGCATCTTCTGTTGAAAACAGACATACTAGATCCTAAGTATAAAAAAAAAAGAAAAAGGAAAGTTCTTCCACAATGTATAACCTAAGTAAGAAGAAAATAGTAGAAGGCAGCGGATCCTGCCTACACATTTGTCCCTTCACCACCAACTACGAAAAGAGAACATGCCCAGTCACAGAAAAGCTTCTTCAATCATTAAAGGCCAAAATAATATTGAAAGGGAAATGACATATTGCATACACAACAAGATACATAACAAGGAATATATACCTGATCAGCATTGAACTTTCGTTTCAGGGTCTTCACACGATCAGGCTCATCTTCATCCCATGTTAGATGGATTTTACTTTGCTGCAGAGCTCGAGTTTGGAAATCTACAGCCTCATAGTTTACAGGTGCCTGCAGTGAACCACGCTATTTTAAAATTTAAGACATGGCATATCAGAAGCTATCACCTGACTAGTACCTCTGATTGTTGAAAAAGAATGACTATTGGTCACATAATAATATCAATCAATCTCTTCCTAATTCTATAGCTTGGTTGACAAAGACCAACGACTTAATCTGATTCCCATTTAATTGTCATAGTCTTCAGCCACCACTACATGACTGAGGAACATACCTCTGTTGCAAAATCACGAGGTTCATGCTTAAACTCCATTGAGTCAGGAATGAATCTCAAATCAAGCACATTCGATGATCTTTCAACTTCAAGGCCATCGCAAGCATTGTAAAGGTAATCAGCTGTAGCACTCGAATCACATTCCACTACACCATAATAGTACCTGAATAGACAATAAGTACTCATTATCCAATAAGGGGAAAGGAAAAAGAGTAAAACATAACATCCTGCAATAGACACTAGAAACTTTAGTACTTAACAACAATAGGTAACCTGCGGAAGTTCCTCCACAAGTAAGCTATAATTTCCCTCCAACAAGCTCAAAAGACAGAGCTCAGCTTATTTGACATCCGTATAAGTAGGAATATTCAGAAAACATATTAACATGGGAGCAGCCTCGGGCACAATATACATGCCGGGGTTCCTGGTCTCAAAATCACAAAAAGAGACTGCAGGAAACTCTGAAAGTAAAGTCACTTGAACATCCAATCGCTGCTAAAAAGAAAGGGGTCATGCAAGCAAGCCCCTGGGATTGAAATGATCAGAAAGACGTCCTATATACTAAAATCTAGATATACAAGCTACCAAGAGAGATTCTTCATCTCTTGAGATAGCCTTAGATAGATTCCCACATGGACAATCTTATTTGTGCATTTGACTTTATAGCAAAATAAGCTCATTGGAGAAGAATACAGAAACCAACAGCGAAGTCTGAATCATCGAGTAAGAAAAGGTACTAAAGCAATACATGATTAAGAAAAAATATGTATCCCAATGAGCAGTAAAGTCCTTCGACTTGAAAGATAAACTAATCACCCAGTCAATTTGAGGCACGTCTCTTATTCCTCTTTCACTTCAAGTACCAATTACAGTGAAAATAAGTGTATTACATTTCCAGGATGATAAAGCCAGGAAGAAACAAAAAACCGTTGAATAAATCTCTTCCAATGGCATCAGCACAGACTTGTTGGCCCTGATACACGGGGGTACACCACAGGATATTCCATTATCAACCATGCCGATCTCTTTCTTTTATGTACAACTTACCATGTTGACTGTCAAATCCTCACAATCAGCTTTTACCGACAAACAGAAAATCCTCACAATCAGCATACTCGAGTCTAAAAGGAAAGGCCGTTGCACTAATTTATCAAGCGACAAGTGGAAGACGTTCTGCATCCAAAAAAACTCTTTTTCCTTCTTTTTTTAGAGAAACGCGATTAACTATGCAATATTATCTCCTATGAATAAGGACGATTGTCCATGGCAACACATGGTACCTAAGTTGTGGGCAACCAAAGAACAAGACACATAGCATGAATTGATAGGAAAGAAACGCAAAGTGCAATAAAATTATCACCTCAGTCTACTTTTCTCATATGCACGCAGTTTCTCGATATCAATCTCACCATCATCGTCATCTTCATTCCTATCGTCCTCATCATCAAAGAGCCCAACAGGGCCATGAATTTCTTCCTCTTTCATGCGCTGGATCCCAAACTCAGATGGGTAGACAGCCACGGACAAAATTTGACCACCTTTGGGAAGGAAAGAGCTTAGAAGGACAAACAAGTCGGCAGACTGCAGTGGAGAAAAATCACACAATGTAAAGGCAAACCAAGGCATTGCAAAGACATGTAAATGACCGTTACTAAAACTAGCCAAAGTAATCCAACTATTTAAGGACAACAATGACCAAACCTTCGATTGTCAGGCCATTGCTCTCGCTATCAAACCAATCCAAAGGCTTTATTTATTTCCATATGTAGGAAATTTAACTCGTATAAGCCACAACATTCAATCATTAAAGATGTAACCTGCTTCCTTTTTTAACAAGGATAGTTCTCATTCTTGAGTCAAGCGCTTCAAAAGGGTAAAAAATGTGTGAAACAATCATTCCATTGCAGAGGTAACCTTCTCTTTTCTTTTCACGAAGATAGTTCTCATATGTGAATCAAATACTTCAAAAGGGTAAAAAAATGACCAAAACAATCATTTCATTACAGACTACTCCCTTTATTTACAAAAATAGTTCTCCTTTGTGAATCAAATGCTTCAAAAGAGTAAAAAAAGTCTAAGACGGTCATTTGCCATTTTAAATAGAAAAGTACGATCAGGTGCCACTGAATGGAGAATACCAAACTCAAATACAATACCTTGACATGTCTCCAGTCCATATTAAGAACAGCAAGCCTCCGAGTTTCCTTGTCAATAGTCGGTATGTTTTCCTCCTGCTCCGCAGAAGGACCACACGCAGAAGGACCACACTTAGATGTGAAAAGGTAATCCGCAGAGAAACCATAAAACAATTGAGGATATAGCGCCAAAAAACTATTAGGTTTTGCAAACTATTATCGGTCATACTATTGGGAATCCCAAATAGACTAAGGGTGCGTTTGGCAACCATTCTGTTCCCGAAAACAATTTCTGTTTAGAAATGATTCTTTTTTATTCCGTGCAAGCATTTGAAAGTGTTTGGTAACTACTCGAAATTTCTATTCTTGGAATAGAAAAAAAAACAGAAATGCGTTTGGTAACTGCACAAAATTTCTTTTTATTAATAATATTTTGAATTTTTTAATATTTCTTTCTTTTTTTTTCTTCTTCTTCCCCTTCCTTTGCCATGGCTAGGTCGCCGGCGCCGGCAACCGGCAAACGGCAATCAGCCATAGGCTAGGGCTGCCCTCGCCAAATCCGGCAAAGGGGGCACTCGCCCAAGCCGTGAGCCACCGGATCTGGCGACGGCGACTAGCGGCCCTCGCCAAATCGGTGAGGGTCTAGCCCTCGCCCTCACCGACCCTGGCCTGTGGCCGAAGAAGAAGAAATTTTTTTTTTTTCCATTTCTGATTCTTGTTCTCAGAATCAAGATGCAACTTTTTTTTACTTCTTGATTCTATTCCAAAACTGATTCTGGGAACAAATTTTTGCAAATTTGTGCCTGAGAACAAAAAATTTACCAAACAGATTTCTGTTCCAAAACTAATTCCGGAAACAAAACAATAGAAATAGTTACTGTTTGAGCCAAACGCATCCTAATTCTTCATTCCTCTCCCTTGGCAGTAAATCGACTATTTTCCATAGAAGTGACAACAAAAAGCGTTTCTCTTGTCTTTACCAAAAATTTTATTTCCTTTACCAAAAAAAAAAAGCGTTTCTTTTGTGCTCATATGTGATATGTGAGTAGTGTCAGATTTTCCAAAGCCCGTTTTCCCTTTCCTTCTATTGTCTGTTTGAGTAGATTTTACTATAAAAACATCTATCCATATCAATCTCATTCTTAGTGTATAAAACATCAATTGTCCTAATCTGGACAACCAGCACCATAGACTAGCCGCATCAGTTAACTGTTTATTCAAGAAACTGGAACTCTGGAAGTCGCAATCTTGGAGTCGTAGATTTCATCGTGAGCTGCATTTCCTTGCCAGTGGACACTATCAACATCGTGATCCCAGTGACATCAAAGTGCTACTTTTTCGGGTAGAGGGAGAATACCAGAACACGTATACAAGAACGAAGCTATTCAAAATTCAGCTAGCAAGGAAGAACACAACGTTACCTGCACTTCAACGCCTTCTTCCTCATAAACCTCCTCATCTCCTTCTTCATCAGTGTCAGTAGTGGACTCCGACTCACCACCACTCCTCTCCAGCTCAGCCTCCGACCCCGATTCCAATTCATCCTCCGAATCCGACTCCTCCGACTCTTCGCTCGACTCAGCTCTCTTCGCCACGCTCTCTCTCTGCTCCTCCAACACCTCCTCCTCTGCATCGGTCTCCTCTTCTCTGTCCCCGTCTTCCTCGATCCGGTAGTAATGGCGAAGCGAGCTCTGGGAGCTCTGCTTCTTAGGCCTGCCCCTCTTATCCAACGGGGCGGCGGACGAGGAGAAGCTCTTGTCGGAGAACATGCGGTTGAACCGCGAGTCGATGGCGACCTTGGCCTTGTGCTTCGGGACTCTCTGGAACCTCGGGTCCGAGTGCACGGAGGCGAACCTCGAGTCGGTGATGATTCTGCCGCCGCCGCCGCCGGAGCCGCCGACGCCGGCGGATTCATGGCCGCCGCCCTTCGACTCGAGATTGGAAGGTTCGGCCTTTCGCTTGCTGTGCTTGTTCTTGCTTTTGGAACCCATTCCCTCTTTCTTCATTTTGGAGAAGGATGATGCTTATCAGAAGATGGAGTGGAAGGCGATCCTGGAGACCGAATTAGGGTTTATGAGCGGAGGGCGAGGATTTGCGAAAGAGACGACCGAGACGTCGTCGTTTGGCCGAAGAATGATCTGTATTCCGCCCGCGAAAGGGCCCTTCTTGGAAATTATTTTCTTTTTCTTTTTTTTTTAACCTTTATAAGTATTAAAGCCCTCGTTTTTTTTTCTTATTTTACGCAAAACACTCGAACCTTTAGTATAATATCCATAAATATGCAATCCTTGATATTCTTTGTTGTTTTGCTGATTTTCTAGCTAAATAATAAAACCTGACTAATAAATAAATGATTAAAATAATTGATGTAATGGGAACAATGGGAAGTCGGTCACATGATAAGTCTAGTTTTGATATATGACTACATCGTTTGCCTTTAATGGAGCATGTTAGTCTTTTCACTTATATTAGACTCATTTTATAATGTTTCGATATTTCACCTCATCTACAGTCAACTGTTTACGATGCTTCATTAAGAACTTAATGATTGATTTGTTCAATATTTAGGATCATTTAGCATGTTTTTTATGCTAAAAATTACTCCATTCACATATGTAATTTCGCTTTGTATATCACAACGTAATAATTCGGGTTAATCACGAGTCATTTTGCACTTTGAACACTATCTACATGAGGGGTTTCGTGAAACAATAACTTAAACACAACTTAAACAACGAAAGACGGGGTTTAGTTACAAAATTGCTTGTCATATGTGGGAAGACAACTTTATTGTTGACTTGGTACATTAAAATTATACAAATATAAATGATTACAAAGTATAATTCTAGTCTACTACCGTAGCTAGTTTCGCAACCACAATCGTCAATTGCTATTTGGAAAAAACGTAACAGCTTTCAACATTCGCCAACCAAAAAATAATCCTGCGATAGCATCTGCTGATATTGAACTTTTAAACTTCATAAAAAAAAAATTCGTCGGATTTCGTCACTTTAATCTTGGCCCGTCAGACGGGTCGTTTCCTCCCCACTTCGAAGAGTGAACTATCAAACTGTCTAATGCTGTAACAATTCAAATGAAAGCAAGGCATCATATGCTGTATGAGAAGCATGTAGGATGAGAAAATCCCGGAATCGTTGTCTCTGGACCAAGCATTAGAAGAGCTAAAGAAGCACAGCAGCTCTGCAGACTTTAAGTGCAAATAAATCCGCCTAGCAGAGTAACTAGAAGGTTAATTTGATGTTTCGGCCTTCGACCTGTTGCGCCATCGCTACATATTTCCTTGCAGATGAAAGGCAAATTCACATCAATCATTCCAGGAGATCACACGCTGAAGAAGCCGCCTGGTGCCGCTTTTTGGGCCTGTCGGAAGCTTCACACAAGTAAGGTATCAATAGTCGATCGAATCACCATTTTCTGCAGCATTTAATGGAACTTCTCTCGCATTTAAGGACCAATATCTTGAAACTTACGCCAGCACTTTCTGCAGCATCTGATGTCGATGGAGGCTCTCTGCGTTTAGAGTATCGAATGGTTGTCTGAAGCAAAATGAAAATTAAACTGTCAAATGGTTTTACGTATAAGCCTTAAACGAGCCTGAACAAAAAGAAATCAGTCTAGAGTAGATATAATATAATGCCATGTCTAGACCATTAAATAAACCAAGAGCCGAGCACAAACTGGGGTTGGCTTACATTGTGAGAATAGAAACTCTCTCCAAATGAGCCTCAAACCATATAGCAGAGGAAAAAATATGTATAGACAATACAAGAGGAAATAATGCTTGAGGGACCTAACTTCAGGAAAAGGTTTATAAAGATGTCGGAAAATTGCACAAGGCGTCCTACTAAACGTTTGGACCAATGTGCAGTCAAATCTTGAGTATAGTGCAATCTAAGTGCTAAATGATTTAGAATCGGTGCAATCAAGTTTTTCTGGCATGCCACAGTAGCAAAATTGGCTGAGCCTTAGCTGTCGCCAGAAAGACTAACTTGCATCGGTTTTAAAACATTTAGGACTACATTGTAATTTTTCAAACGTTTAAGACTTGGTTGCACATTGAGCCGTTGGTGCAATTTTCCCTAAAAATTATCAGCAGCAACTGGAGAAATAACATCAGCCACGGCCCACAGGGTATTGACTCTCCAGTTCGACCATTTTATTGCACCGGATACTGGTCTCATCTTTAGCTCAGCGGAAACAATATAGACAACATAAAAGCCGAACGAATGCATTAATACATGCACATAAACCTCTTATCTCTTAAATCAAACCGAGTTGAAGTCTATCCAAACAAAGATGCACAGGATGTATTTTCATAGTAACTCAAGTAAGATAAGAAGAAACCCAGTAATCCTAGAACAACCATTAGGGAGTTTCTCAATCCTCTTTTACTCCTGGATGGATTTTCTCAAAAGTTGCATAATCTCCTCCTAGATACCACATCAAGCTCCATATCTTCTCACTTATGCTTTTCATCCATTAGAGAGAAAGATGACATCAAGAAAAAGATTTCACATGGCTTCTGTTCCAATATGAACACACACCAATCATAAGCCTACTAAAGTTCTTTGCTACAATCAAACAGCTTAACAGGAATTTTCTGGGGAGAATAATGAGAAGCGATTTCTTGTTGGAAAGTAAACCATTTCTAGAGACCAAAGTAGCCCCTACCATGGTCATGTTGGAAGAGAGGATGAAAGCCAGAGCAGTTGTATGTAATACATCCAGAAACATATGAGATGCCGTCAGGAAACTCAATCTGCTCATTCTCCAGTCTCTTCCAAGAATCATGCCGAGTTGATAACACTGGTTGCCTAAGCCTTATCAGCATTCAATACTATCTCTGCCAACTGGATGTTGCCACTTATTTTAGATGCCTTGCTGGATGGCATTATTGAAAAGCCGTCAAGAAGTTTTCTGCACTTCAACCCCCATTTTACCATCAAGAACTCAATGAGATGATGCCCACTGAAGATCATGGAAACACAAACATTACTTTTCTTCCTTTTCCCTTAATTATTTAAATTAGAAGTCAATGGAATCGGATCACAGAGCATGATTAACTGGTTTGGTACCTTCGGTTATGATAAGTAGTAATGAAGACTGATCCTGGAGAATTTTGGAGAAGGAACGACACCGTCGCAAAGAGATCATCAAAAGCTTGGGCAAGCATAATACGCATGGACAAAAAACAGAAAAGTAGATGAAAAAAGTGTCAAAATTGTAAGTTTAACTTGTCTATTCCTTTCAAAAAGGAAACCAGATGAAATAAGATGATCTATGCACCGGTACCTACCACTTGCCTCATACAAAACATCTGCTCCAAGTATAAACTGAGGGAATAAACTGAAGATAATTTCATCCCAAACTCCCCAACTGAGCCCCACCACCTGCAGAAGATATGAAGTTACCAAAAGATAATTGAGACAGAAATAAGAGGAAAATTGCTGCAGGACTCAAACTTTATACTGACAAGGATGCACCAAACCAAGTCCTAGTTTCTTCTTCAACAGCAGAATAGAATAGCAGGAACTTACTTTACAACTTAAGTTATTCAACTGAGATACTCGTTTCATGTTGTCCATCACCTGAAAGTTTTAAAGAAGAGGACAACAGATGATAAGCCACCAAAATCTTATTTAGACCAGCAGAAAGTTATCTGTGTGCAGCCAATCAACCATCTCGAGTGTTTAAAGGAAAATAAGATGAAACTCCATTTCAATTGGGACAAGCCCGTGACTCGTGAGGCATCCTAATTCCAACTCAACCTCACAAAATAACATTTCATGAACATCTTCCCCTGTGTTAGGCTACAAAGTTTTCAAATTCTAACATTCCTGTTATATATCAGCATTTCGAAGGCACCAACTCTGTTAGAAGATGAAGCTACCAAATTAACATTTTCCAATTTTGTTTGCTTCTACATATTACCAAACTTTGGTTGAGAGTACTCCTTGTAAGGACCATCATCTTCTAGAAGAATGCTGCCTGTGTGCACATAGGCACGTGCACGCGAGCCTGTGTAGGTGTGTGATTTGGTGAGAGCGAAGGGGGAGTTGAAACAATCTTTTGTAGACAAATCCGAAAAGAACGTGATGCGCACAATCAATCACACTACTAGAAACTTGCAGGTCCATCCATTATCAGGCAGCACTCAGTGTATGTAAACTAACTTTTCAGGTTGACAGTCTCACTCGATCTTCGAACAGCTCTACCTCAATCTCCAAACTGAGTCGCGGTTTTACCTTGTTTGAAATCTCACCCCTGTTTCACTCATTAACAAGTAGTTGCTTCTATCAACCCAAAGAGAAGAGTAGCTCGGACCAGTTTAGTTACGTTATCGTCTTCCCAATATTTTGAAGAATTCTGTTTACTCTCGGAGGAGGAAATTCTTCTTCATTCCAAACATCTGTGGAGTGGATAAAGTCACAATTTCACCTTTTCTAGACACGTGATTGCTTTGGTCTAGTATCACATAACACAGCCATTGTGTTTTACCACGGAGAAGTAAAAATTCAACCACAAAGTGAACCCATGGAACAACAAAAACAGTAGCCACTCATGCACGTTACCTCCGATCTGCCGGCATCATCCGAAAGCGTAACGTCGCAACCCAATCTCGCAGCAACCAAGCCAGGCAGAGAAGTTCCAGCACCAAGCTAAAACAACAGGAATCACAGAGACAAGAGAACAAACACAAAACACTCAATCCGCGTCCCACGTTACCCCATCCAGATTAATCGTGCTTCTTCCGCTCAAACACAGGCAAATACTTCGCCGGGGGAAGAAAAACAGCTGAACAAAAGACGAATGACTGCGGAGGCGTACCTCGACAACGTTGGCTCCACCAACGAATCGCGATCTCTGTTGCCAGACGTACTCGGCGAGAACGACGCTGCACGGCCATACGAATAGTCCGTACTCTTCTTTCATGTTCTGATACAATCAGCAAAGAAGAAGAAGAAGAAGAAGATGAGTGACAGGACCGAGTGTGCTTATTTCCCCATACAGTTCTCCGTTGAACAGGCGAAGAGAGTGGAGGAACCTCGATGATCGAGATGGAGAAGGCCGGTTCGTCAGGTCCGTCGCCGAAGAAATGCCGGGACACGGTCGTCATGGACGCGGTTTCGCCCACCGGCTCGCCGTCGCTCTCCGCCATATCGATTCGGCGAGTCTGAAGATTCTCTCTCAACCAGCAAAGCACGAGCAGAAGCGTTTGCGAGTGAACCCGATGAAGCGCGAAGCATTTGCCTGTTGCCTGTTGCCTGTCGGGAAGATCGGGCTTTGATTTCCACCGGTTTCCCCACCCGGATCCGACCAATAAAGAGACCAATACATGAAAGGGAAAAACATAAGTAAATCCCCTTCGTTACAAGCGAATGAAAATAAAGCAAAAAAATTCGTAAAAGTTTTAGAACGTTATAGGAATTCATTTGTTCTAAAGTCGAAAGAAAAGGGAAATTCTAATTAAGGACTCCAAGTGGGGGGTCTATTTCTCAAAAAAGGACTCAAAGTGGACATAATGTCAAATAAGGACCTGAAGTGCCCAATTAATCTCAAATAAAGGCCCGAAGTGCCCAATTAGTCTCAAGTAAGGGCCTGGGTTCACCGGTCGGTCAAATGCTCGCCGACCGGCGAACACGGTTACTGTTTCGGCGACCGGAAAGGGCAGTTTTGTCTTTTTCTTTTTTTTTTTCCTTTTCTGTTTTTTTTATCCTTATCCTTTTCTCTTTTTTTTTATCCTTTTCCTTTTCTGTTTTTTTTTCTTCTCTTCCCCTATGGCCGGCGAAGGTCGCCAGCGTCGGGCAAGGGCGGCCCTCGCCTGCCCAGCTTAGTCGAGGGCTGCCCTCGCCGGCCCCCGACTGGGCTGGGCGGGCAAGGTCGAGGGTTGCCCTCGCCCGCCCAGCCCAGGTGAGGGCGGCCTCCGCTTGAGGCTGGTGACCTTCGCCGGCCACAGGGGAAGAGAAGAAAAAAAAAACAGAAAAAGAAATGGAAAAGGAAAAAAAAACAAAAAAAAAGAAAAAGATGAAACGCCCTTTTCCAGGTCATTGGAACGATGCCGTGCTTCGCGGCCGTGAAGCATTTGACTGGCCAGCAAACCTAGGCTCTTACTTGAGACTAATTGGGCACTTCAGGCCCCTATCTGAAACTGATTGGGTATTTCAGGCCCTTATTTGACATTATATCCACTTTGGGTCCTCTTTTGAGAAAAAGACCCCACTTGGGGTCATTAATTGGAATTTTCCCTCGAAAGAAACCACTTTTTCTTTAAGTCCTAATTTTTTAAATGATTTCATAGGAAAATTAAATGACTCAATGTGCTATAAATCGAAGTGCTTTGGTTAAGGATTTTGTTAAAGTTTAAGCAACTAAATTAGAAAAAGGGAAAAAACCACAAAAACCCCAAACTTTGCCATCGTGACACATTTACGAACTTTTTTTGTGACACCAAAACCCTCGAACTTTCTTTTTGTGACACATTTACCCAATGTATTTAGTCCATGGGCATTTTCGTCTTTTTAATTTTCTTTTTTTTTTTTTTTTTTTCCTTCCGTGAGGCGCCCATCGCCGGATCCGTGAGGGGGCCCTCGCCGTGTCCAGCGAGGCGGCCCTCGCCGCGTCGAGCGAGGGCGGCCCTCGCCGGCGTCGAGAGGTTCGCCGGCAGCCGGCTCGGGCGAGGGTCGACCTCGCCCCGGTCAGCGTCAGTCCCTCGCTGGGCGAGCAGGCGGCCCTCGCCGTCTGGCGAGGTCGACCCTCGCCGGCGTCGGGCGGGTCGCCCTCGCCGAGGCGAGGTCGACCCTTGCCCGGCAGCCGCGGGTCGACCTCGCTCGAGTCGGGCGAGAGGCGCCCTCGCTCGCCCGGGCGAGGCGAACCTCGCCCGGCAGCGGCGAGGGCCGCCCTCGCCGGATCGGCGAGGGCCGCCCTCGCTCGGCCGGCGAGGGGGCCCTCACGGAAGGAAAGGAAAAAAAAAGAAAAAAAAAAAAAGAAAAAGCAAAAAAGACGAAAATGCCCATGGACTAAATACATTGGGGTAAATGTGTACAAAAAGAAAGTTCGGGGTTTTGGTGTCCAAAAAAAGTTCGGGGTAAATGTGTCACGGATGGCAAAGTTTGGGGTTTTTGGTGGTTTTCCCAAAAAAAATACAATTTTTAACGTTTGTCTCGTAATACATACAATAGATTTTCAAAAGTTGAAAATATGTTTTTATAAAATATGTTTAATAAATGTTTTTTCGGGACACGTGTTGACAATATTTTTTCCACTAAAATGCAAAAAAGGATCTAAAAACTTAAAAATTCTGAATCCATCATTGCCAATTTTTTTACTTTTGCCGCTTGCGCCACTTTCGCTACCGGATAAGGGACCAATACAAATCCTACGCCCGGCTGGTCTTCATCATCTGGGCACGTGTACGAGCAAGAGATGACCACCTCTCATCAGACAGAGCGATCAACGGTCCACGGCGCGAAACCCAGTGGGCCCATGCCTAGGCCGAGCCCCATGCAATCACCTCACCTTTTTCAGGGGCCCACCGGTTCACCGGCTCGTTGCTCATTTCTCACTCTCTCTCTCTCTCTCTCGGCGATCCTCCTGAACTCTCTCGAGACAAGCGCCTCCTCCATTGAAGCTCCCACTCTCTCGAAGCTCAAAGCTCAATCTCATGGCCCTCGCCAATCACTTCCTCGCAGCTCCCGCCGAGACCCCGTTCTACCCCAGGGCTACGGCGCCCTCTCGGTCTCCTTCCTGCTCCGATGCGGATCCTCTGCCGCCCGCTCGCGTTCCGTCGATTCGCTCGTCGCCGATGAATCGGAGGATCCCTCTGTGCAGAAGCAGCTCTAGACTTCGCGGAGTCAAGCACATGGGTAACTCACAGGGTTCTCCTTGAATAATTCTGCCTTCCATCCGTTCGTTGTTGCTATTGTTATTGTTTTTGCCTTGTGGATTGATGGGTTGGGCACGTTATGATAAGATCTTCCGTCGCCTCGGCAATAGTTTGTCTCGAGTCCTTCGCTTTTGCGAGTCGATAATGCAGTGACATTGCATCCTGAGAGACGTAGGATGATGGGTTGGGGGTGTTTTGTGAACTACGTGCCTGAGTTGTTTGTTTTTGGGCATCCGTAGATGCGAAATAATGCACCGGCAACACAGAGTCAGCGTCGGAGACTTTTCTTTAATTCGCTTGTAGGATTTGATGGTGCATCACTTGGGATATCTGTGGTGGCAATGAAGTTTGTCGAATTCATGCGGTTTTTCTCCACGGCAGCGACTCTTTTCTCGCGATTGAGATGAATGGATTGAACTGTCACTTGATACGACTGTCTATGGATATTGTAACATGATGTTTTGAGGCCATTATTTCTCCTCTAGATAAATAACAAATAATTCATGATTAGCAAAACGGAAAGTAGTATTAAGGCATATGATAGCTGTACATGGTTAATGATCCACATAAATGCTTGGAATAGTATTGCATCTGAAATTGTGGAACCAGATAAATCTACAATTCATAAACCACTTAGTTGACTAGAGGAGTATTGCATTCGGGTTCAATTTGTACGAGCCATAACATGCCTTGATATGAATCTGGTTAGCTATGATATATCTCGTTGCAAACAAGTTCTCATTCGCTTTTGCATTTCCGGCGTTGTTTAGGTTGCTTCAATAAATTGACTTACGAGTATGACCTGATTTGCATTTTGCATTAATATCAGTTAAGGCCGTGCCTCAAGAATCTGAAGTTAATACAGCTGCAGAAGCCTTCAACAATTTCAAGCACCTACTTCTGCCAATCACAGATCGCAATCCTTACCTTTCTGAAGGAACAAGACAGGTGACTGTAATTCGACGCCCCTACTTAGTGCAACTGCACTCTAACTTTTTTATACGAATGTTTGCCTGTTGAGCATAAATCAAGATAAGTATCTCCTGTTGAAGCCATGTTATTTATGGATTTAGTTTTCATGCAACCTGAATACATGATTGATCCTGCATGATGAAATTTCTCCACGGAAATCAAAGTTAATGCATCCTGGACCTGCTCGTGTCTTGTTTCATGTTTTTCTGAAATTTCTATGATGCGTGAAGCTACATCCATGTGGGTGGCCCAAGATTTTGAATTTTTACGAAGGGAAGGATCTCCAATGGCATTGTGTTGACTCCTTTTTAACTGTCCTTATGACTCGCAGTTACTGTGCACCACATTCCAATTCATGGGAATATTCACTCTTGCTCTCAATTGACAGGCTGTAGCAACTACTGCAGCTTTAGCAAAGAAGTATGGAGCTGATATCACTGTTGTGGGTACGGGGACTTGCTGTTTATTCTTCTTTTAGCACCGTACCAATGGGTTTTGGTTCTTACAATGTGAGCTTCTAATGCAAGGTTGAAGAAATTTAGACCTTATTGTGCAGTTATCGACGAAAAGCAGAAGGAAACGTTGCCAGAGCATGAGACTCAACTATCCAGCATCCGTTGGCATCTGTCGGAAGGTCTACGTCTGCCTACTTTTCTCAACTTTATTTTTTACGGTTTCAGTTGTATATCCATGCATCATTCTATTTCCTGGATATTAGTAATTCGGCATTGATATACTAACATCTCGGAAAGAAATACAAAAATGGGACTTGTAGCATGTTAGACCTTCTTTAGGTTTCGAATGAACGTAGAAGGAATTGAAGATGCAATAAGGTTTGTTTGAGGATTTTGCGATGAAAAATTTGTGCTTGTTTGTCTGCTTAGATCATTACATTACGTGGATATAAAACTAGTAGATTTAAGAAACTGTTTGTCAACTTGGTACCATGAAAGGGAGCAAAGCTTAAGAAGATTGAGAGGAGAATTTAAGATAACGAATGGTCGAGCTTGGAAAGACGAATTGAGTGTTTTCGTCTATCATTTGTTAAGAAGACCAAGTGAGGGGCTAGAAGTTCATGGACATTTTGATTTCAATCCCAGCTGAAGAAAGCTTAATATCTTTGGAATTCTTGCAGTGGCGACCTTTGTAAAATTCCATATCCACCAATTAAAAATGTCTTATTTTCAATTTGTTGATGACTGTTCCTCATCATCCACGAGCTTTTACAGGTGGGTTCCAAGAATATAAGTTGCTAGAGCGTCTTGGAGAAGGGAACAAACCGACAGCTATTATTGGCGAGGTGGCCGATGATCTCAACTTGGATTTGGTCATTCTCAGCATGGAAGCCATCCATTCGAAGCACGTGGATGCGAACTTGTTAGCTGAGTTTATTCCATGTCCCGTCATTCTTTTACCATTGTAAATGTCACTTTGCAAAGAACAGCGAGATAGTGTAATTTCATTCTCGAATGACACTTTTGATCGGACAAGAAGTGTCTCCAATTATTTTGCTTCTACTCTTTATATTGTTACAGGTTTATTATCTTTTCTCCTCTGGAGCCCTTTTCGCTGTGAGTTTTCCTAGGAATATAGCTAATTGTTCCAAGGTCAGTACTACATTTTTGTTTGAATTTGGAATTTCGGGTTACAACTAGGTACTAGTTCCTTTAGATTGTCAAGCCTTGTGATGCTGGTCGGGGCTAACGTAGATGTTTTCGATTGCTTTTACTTCCGTGGAGCTCCATGTATGTGAACGATGGTGTTGTTAAAGCCAGAGAGTGATTGTTTATCTGTCAAGTAAATTGCAGGACTTGGGGACCGACTGCGGAGTCCCGGGTCGCTCGCCAGGCTCTCTAAAGCACGGAACAGTATGGTAGCGTCACTGTCCCAATGCAAACCTCGTTAAGATTGAAAGACTTCTGTGAAGTTGAATAGAATGGACCTTTTCCTGGCTCTATCTATGAAGCGCGAGGTGGTCCATGATATAGGGATGGGCGTTGTTGCACTCCTAAACGATGGCAATGGAAATATGCAACGGGGGGAGTTCCCACTCACCCACTTCCTTAAATCACATCCACGAGCAGAAACAGGGGGACCTGCTAAAAGGGTAAAACAAAGAAGCCTGAAGTACACAAGACGGTTTCTCGTGTTTCCGAAGTCGCACATCCTCGCTGTCCCCGCACAGTTTCCAATTTTCCATGTCGATGACACGTGAAAACCAGCTCTGTCGTGCCACTGACACTTCCCTTTCTATTACAGACCTACTGCGCCCATAAATTCATTTTGACCAGGTTGAGTTTTTCCAGGCAAAGCATTCGACTGAAGTTTAGAAATAACGTGGGAAGCGGGCCCTCCATTTCTATGCTGGACACCCCCGCTTTTGGGCTAAAGATTCCAAGACTTGTATTTTGTTCCTTCGCCAGCAGAACATAGACTTTGTTCTTGGGGACGTGGATTCTACGTCGACGACTAACTTCATGGTTAGGAATTTGTCAATTGAAGTCACCTATGCCAGTCAAAATTAACACATGGATCAGCGGGCGACGTAGTTATGAGAAAAAAAGGCCACGGCGAGATACCACTTTTTAGTTTCTAGCTCTGTCGTGACCTTTCCCCAATAGAGATATAAACTACAGAATTCGGTTTTATAACATGCGATTCGCGCGAATGTCTTGCTAAACGACCTCGTGAGCTCCGTGTCGGCTAACGATCGAACCATGAAGTCGAACATATCGAATCGAGATTTTGGACAAGTTAATTGGGGGATGAATATTGACTATGTCGATTATACCATGCTTTCAGAAGAAGGTACGTGTGTAATGTGCATAGATATTATTAATCACAAAGGCGGGACCATACATGCGGTATGCGAGGAAAAAAATCTAATTATATTATGTATGTATATTCGAGGGTGAATACAGAACCTTAAAATATCGACATACAGATGAATGTAGACATTTGAATTTGAGAACCGGACGTTAGAATATTTTGATATTAAACCGCACCTTTGTCCGACCGCTTGAGAATCGAGAAAACTAGGCAACGGTTCTATAAAATGTTGCATGGTATTGGAGTGAGAGATTCCGAGTTTAGATCGGTCCCCATGAACGATATGGAGTGTTTCTTGAATTTCTTCTCACAATTCGATAGGTGTCGGTATTGTTTCTTTGGAGTACGACACCAAGTTTAAGTGCTTTTATTTTGTAGGTATGCCAAACTTAAGGTGTCCCCTGTATAGTTTAGTACTAACAAAGGAGGAGCATTTTGTTTCCTTTTATTTTCTTCTAGTTAATTGGCAAAATTACTATTTTTTTTCCTTTGGGGTTTGATACCAAATTTACGTGCCCCTTCACAGTAAGTACCAACATTAAATGGGTCACGTGTACATATACGTGTGCAAAGAATGTGAGGAAATAAATTCAAAATGGGAAGGAAATGTGTGGTTTGCGATATTTTAGGACATTTGTTTAAATTGCCTTGGAAAATTCATTTTTATTTAGGAAAGAAACTTAAATAATTTTAGTACAAGAGAGATTTGCTTCAATTTCTGAAAGGAAAGGAAAGGTACTTATAAAATTAGTTCATAATTATGTCGACCCTTTTCTATTACACTTGAGTTACGTGAAAGAAATTCGAATGATTGAATGATGTCGAGATTTGCTTTCAATTTTGGAAAGTAATATCGTTATTAGACTAATTAACGATTATCTTGCCTATTGCTACTTCAACATTAAAAAGTGGCAAGAACATTCCAACGGAAAATCCGTACCGTATCAAAATAACATCCGACTTCTATATAACCGTTGTTTTAAAGTTAGATTTTTGGCAATAATCAACATGTCTCTTGCTTTTTATAGTATCTTCACATTTAAATGCCCGTGCTTTTGTCCTACGACTGTCATAATACATTTCGAAAAAAAAAAAAGCACAAGCATTTCATCAAAGCTTTGGACTGAAATTCATGATTAAAATCGGTTATTAGTTTTGCTTTCTCTATCATAGAGATTTTAGATTATTACTGGACGAGATAAAAAAAAAATGTACGAATCATTTCTAAAATTACCATTTGACCAACCCCTTGGCAATATATTACCATTATTCATCTCATAATAGGCTGCGTTTGGTCATCCAGATTTCTAGTAAGGATATAACTGAATAGGATAGGATAAGAAATCCCGGGATTTTGTCATATCATATCTACCGTTTGTTGAACTACGGATTTAAAATCGGATCTTTTTATATCCTATCATGTTCATTGTTTGATAGAAACTGGATATCAATATAAAGATATATATGCCACTTCGTAGTGCCCATGAAATAATATGGCTGTTATTATCATAATCTATTCTTTGTGCCCGACCAAAAAAAAAAACTATTCTTTGTGGCAAAATATGACAAAAATTGCACTTCTTTTTGTCGATATGTTTATGAGAGCAGTAAAAGAAGAAATTCATCTCATGTTTCTTTTCAAAATCTAATTGGCCAATAGAAATAATGCTAAAGCCTTCCAACGTGAAGGACGTGTGCTCCAATTCAGTTGCTTAGTGATGGCACAACGTGAAGGAGAACTTCATCGCATATTTCACTCACTACAAATTCTTGCTTGCAGCTTTGTTTACGCAAAAATATCAGGGAATGTGCCCCAATCCAGTTGCTTAGTGAGGAATAAGCGTGTGACTCAAACACTAAATTAACACCTCACTCGAGTAGAAGCATAGAAAGGTGAAAATAAATCTCAAAATGACCGAACATTTTTTGTGAATCAAACACTAAATTAACATCAACTTTCTTGTTCTGAATGACATAACATCTCAGAATCAAGAAGAAAACATGTAATAAATCTTCCCGATTCATCAAATCTACTCCTAGTTTTGCTCATCTTCCCACGGGCTGGTCGCCGGCGCCGGAGAGGTGGCCGGCCACTGGAGAGGCGGTTGGGCACAATGGAGAGGCAACCCGCGGCCAGAGGGGTGGTTGGGCACGGCGGAGAGGTGGCTAGGCGTGGAGGAGAGGCGATAATTATGGGAAAAACTAATTTCCTCGTGTGTTGCTCTATTGAGAAATTCTATCCAGTTCTATCCCACTTCTCTCCTAGGATTATTTTATCCGGACTATATCCCCTTATATTCTATCATGAATAGCTACTGAACATAGGAGAAAATAAAACATATCATATCCTGACTTTTATCCGGACGACTAAACGTAACCATGGGGCATTATCCCTTTTTCTTCTGTTCGGAAAAAAATTAAAATGAGTTTTACTCAACGAAAAAAGAGAAAATAGAGAGATAATTACGTCCGGATAAATATATATATATACACATTTTTATCCAGACGTAATTGCTTACACCCGCGACGGCTCTAGCGCTGGAGGGCATTTCCGTAAATACCCCCGCCCCGTCCCCGTCAGACGAAAACCTTCTCGCCGAAGAATTTCCTATTAGCTAAAAAGCGGAAGAGCTCCCCACACAGCCAGAGCGGACAGACGAGGAAGAGGGGGCGCAAAAACACCACCACCAGACTCACCACCAGACCCTCTCAGGCTCAGCGAGTTGCCGTCGGCGACCGAGCGAAGCTCCCGATTCGGCGGCGCACCGCTGCTCGGATTCTCGCCGCCGCGGACGATCGGGGCCTCCCGAATCTCCGATCATCTCGGTTCCCCCGATCAGCCGCCGCCGCCCCGCCCCGTCCCCCTCGCTCCCTTGTCGGTAATCCCGCCCGGCGAAATTTTCCACCCCCCGGGAGAGGCGCCGCCGCCGCCGAGAGAGGGAAGTAAGGATCGAGCCCTGACCAGCGCGTCGGTCGATCGCTCTCCGGCGTTCGCGCGATTATCGCTATCCGTTTGATTTTTCCTCTGTCGATCGGCTGATCGGCGAGTTTTTTTTTCTCCCCGGAGGAGCGCCAGCGCTCTGGAGGCAGGTTCGGGAACCCTAATCTATTGATCGAGCGCTCTCTGTTTCCGCAATTTTCCTCATCTTCCTCCGTTTGTCCTTTTCTTTCCGCTTCGATTCCTCGTCGATGAGCTGATTCTAGGAAGTGTCCGAAATCAAACCCTAGTTCGTTTGTCAATCGATCGGCACTCCGTTTCATCTGTTTTTCGTCGTCTTTTGTCTGATTCCTCTTCCTTTTTCCTCGTCCCATCCCCTCACCGGCGAACGCGGTTTTACCTGAGAAGATAACCAAAGTCTCTCTCTCTCTCTCTATCTCTCTACCTCTCTCTCATGGCTATCGCTACGGATACGACAAACGCTAACTCCATAGAAGCTAACAATCACTCTCCTCGCAATTCCGCTGGTGCTGCCAATAGTCCTCGATTAGGCAGACCGACGAGGACGGCGGTCTCGCCGCAGTGGAACGAGATCGTCCGTGGAGAAACGGATATGACAGAGTCTGTTGATTTGCTGAGCAAGCTGAGCATTGCAGTGGCACCGGAGGTTGTCCCGTCTTCATCTTCTTCGTCTCTGTCTTCGATTGCAGAGGAGGGGAGCTCCGACAACGGCAATGTGGGCAAGAAGACTGCATGGAAGCTGCCCTCGGATAGCCCCGGGCCCGCTGCTGCCGAGTTCGTCCCAGTCATGGGGGCTGATTCGTGGCCTGCTTTGTCCGAGTCAACTAGGTCATCAACGAAATCGACTTCGGTTCCTGTGAAAGGTTTATCTGATGGATCATCATCCGTGCCGGTGACAGAGGTATGGTTTTTGCTTTTTGGATGTTGTTTCTGTAAGAATGCGCGATTATATATTTTTCTCGTGGTTTGGCTTGGTTTGATTGTGGATTAAGTGTAGAGCGCGGCGAAAAAACAGTTTGGGCTATTTGGTTTTTGCTTATTTGGTTATGCGAGAAGAGATTTTGGAAACCGAAGATTAGTAGTTATGCTTTAAGGCTGTTACTTGTTCTGTGTGAAGGGATTTCTAAAGATTTTGAAATGCACAAGAAAGTTACATTTACTAGAGGGTTTTTAGAATTGGAGTGCTGGAGCACATCTGAATTAGCTTACTTAGCTTTTAGAGGGGATTTCAACCTTTTTTGGAATTTCGATGAGTAACTAGAAGGCTTTAGCTCAGAGAAATATCATCTAAATGATCTACTACAACTTCAAAAAAACATGTTCAAAATATGTTGCAATAGCCAGGTCGATTAAGAGTTTTTTACCCCCACTGACCTGGAAAATAACCTTATAAATGACATTTTCATGTTTCCCAGGTTCGTTAGCTGAGAATATATACAAAAGCAAGGGCCCCGTCTGCCTTTATGGCTTTTCCAAGGGGCATAATTCAGTGCTTCTTAGGATCTGGCCTCAGTTGAGCTAACAGAGCATGAGAATTAAGCCTTCTAGTTTATTACTTTGTGTATTTTTTGTTCTCTTACCAGCTAGCTGCCTATGGAAATTATAGCCAGTGGAATGAACGTTGCCCTTACGATATGTCAAGATCATATATTGATCCCTCAAGGGGGATTTCCTTTTTGAGATTGAAATGGACTTAAAACGGAAAAAAAACTACATGTATAGCAGTTACGAGCACTTCACACATTTTACTCAGGTGCAAGTAGAACTGGAAAGTTCCTTTCTTTCATAGAAACAAGATGAGTGGATTTGTTTTGAGTAGAAGCGTTGGCGCTTTTAAGTTGCTTCTGCTTGAGACATGGTATGGTGCAGTCATTGGTGCTTCTATTAGTTGATAATTGGAGACTTTGAAATTACTAAATGGCCCATGCAACCCAAAGACACAGATTTAATTGATTTGGGTGTTTATGATGTACAGAAAATAGACGACTAACTCTGTATTCTCGCATATACAGCTTTTTTTCTTCTTTGCATACTTTACTCTTCTGTTTGCTTCCATGCTTGTTCTCAAAGGAACAGCAGAACAACGACCAGAAAGAATTGGGATTCGTCTTTCTGCCCCATCGTTTGGTTTTTCAGTTTGGCAAATATGTTTTGCTGGTTGTTGCAAATGAAAGTCTTTTATCATTCCGTAACTTAAGGACTTTGCATCTTGCTGCGTCATTTCATTCTTCCATTGCATACATAATGCTCTGACCCTTGAGAAATTGTTCATGTTGAAGGGAAACGGAAATGCCTCGTCTGTTTCACAGAAGCAACTCACTGATAATAAGGATGCAAATATAGCAACAAGCTCCTCTGTGCCTGCACGTCCGAGATCAAAGAAGCAAAGTGGATCTACATCTTCTAGTGGCGGAGTCGCTCAGACATCAGCAATAGTAAGCCCTTCAGTTGACCCAAGATCAAATAATCCTTCTGCCAGGGACCATAACCACAGGAGTGGACCCGTTTCGCATTCCCAAAATGGCAATGAGCACCCTCAACAGCAGCGCAGCTCCCTCAGGCATCGAAGTGGGGGTAATTATTCACGTGGGGATGGTCCTTACCAGCACAACTATGGGGTTAGGCGTGATCAGGAACGTGGAAATCAAGAACTAAGTGGTCACAGAAATTTTAACAATAACAGAGATTCTCACATGCCGCAGCAAAGAGCTGCCATATCAAGGTATGGCAGGCCCTCAGCACCGCCGCCTATCCCGCCTGCTAGTGCATATATTGGACCTGCTTCAGTTCGGCCTTTTGGTGGCCCTGTAGTTTTTCCTGGTAAGGCAGACTATGTTAACTGTCGAAACTTATCATCTGAAAGATTTGCTTTGATGTTCTTTATTTTTTTCAGAGGCTCCAGTGTATTATGTCCAAATTCCACCCATGGATTTACGGAATGTTCCTTATTATCAGCCCATACAGCCTCATATGGTTTATTTGCCACCTCCTAATCACCTCTTGCATGCTCAAATAGTTAGACAGATAGAGTATTATTTCAGGTACTTCTGCTGTTTTCCCCCCTTTAAATAAGTCACTCTTTGTTTCTCAAACATGTTGCAAGTTTTCATAAGTTGACTGGAATCATCCTCCATATTTGGCTGGTGCAGTAATGAGAATCTTGTGAAGGATATATATTTGCGGCGGCAAATGGATAAACAGGGCTGGGTTTCTATAGCTGTTATTGCAGGGTTTAAAAAAGTAAGTTTTCCTTGAATATATCAGAAGTTTGCACTCTTGAACTTAATTTAGTATTATCTTGTGCAATACAGGAAAGTCACAAGTTGCGGTATATTTTGGGTTTTACCTTCTAGTTTCATCTATCATCAAGTCATGCTTTGTTGGCTGATTGATTAAAGATATAGTTTCACCCAGATTCAAAACGACGTCAATTCTATTGTACCATGCTTCCAGAGGAAGATATCTGGGGTGTTAATTTATCCTCTACTTTGCAGACAATTGAACTCTATTCATTCTTTTCTTCTTTTGTTGTATTACTTCTTAAATTGAACGCCTGAACCCTTATCAGCTGACTATTGATGGTATGTTGGCCTCAAAAGTGTTGGTTTCCTGGTCCTGTGGTTATAATTTAGCTAGTTGCTTTCTTGTTGTCTTTTTGGTGAGTCCCATTGTAGCATTTATGTCTAGCTAATTGCTTCAAGTTTCGTGATTGATTTAGTAGTTTTTTGGCTTTGAGATTGATAATCCTTTTTGTCTTGAGCTAATTATAGACAGTTGTCTTTAACTATCGGGGGTCTCCTGTGACTTTTGCTATGCACTCAGATGGTATTATTTTGAATGAAGTTGGTGTATTTGTTAAAAATGCAGTAACAGATTACTCCATTTATATGTGTGTGTGTGTGTGTGTGTGTGTGTGTGTGTGTGTGTGTGTGTGATATTACAATATACCACTTGTAAGACCATGCACTTCGAGGTTTGGAAGTCAACCATCCAACATTGCTTTTGATGAGTTATATGTTTTCGGCCTAAATGAATGTGGTTTCAAATGCACTGGAGATGGAAGTCCTCTTTCATTTCTGGACGGTTTTTCTGTTATGGCAAAGATTGGCTCCTCCAATGTTTTAACTTCCGTACATGTAGTTTGAAGATGGTCAGACTTTGCAAGTAATATCGTTTTTACCCAAATCTTGCTTTTTGCATATCACTTTAAGTGGGTAAATTTCATCGGTATCTCTAAATTTGGGTGCTTTATGCGATAGATTAACGAGCTATGATTTAAATCACCAAATTGGTCAAACATTCATTTCATTGTGTTAGAAAGTCCAACCCAAAAGCTTAAGCTAATAGGTGGAGGGAGACCATATGAATATAAAGAATATTTGGGTCCCATTGTCAAGCGATGTGGGATAATACTTCAACACCTCCTCTCACGTGCAAGTCGGATTAAGAGCGGCGCATGGAATTTTGAATATGCACATTCACATGGAATTTTTTATCACGCTCATTCGCGAAAGGGATAGCATTGGCTTTGATACCATTTCTAACACATTGTAATTGTCGTACTTTGATCAGAATTTGAACGAGTTTTTGGCGAAGTACTAACATAGTGGTATGGCTCCATGGAGTTGGTTGGACAGTGTCATCTTTGAGTAAATTTTTTTAAAATATTCAAAAATTTAAGAAGAGAACAAAACGACAAAAGGGAAAAAAGGCTTGAGGGCCTGTGACCCTCCTGCATCCCCTGTGAGTGTTGCAGGCCTTCTGCGAGCAATGATGGAGGGAAATGACCCTCTTTGATCGTGGCAGAGTGCTGCAATGTACTTTCCGACGATTCTTGGTCGACATCCCTCCCCGGAGGGGTAGGGGGTTAGTCGCTTCACTGCTTTTTTATTGTCTGATTTTTAAACTATTTTCACTTCTCGCTGACATAAGTGTGCAACTGACCTCCATGTTATAATTGCAAGTGGCAGGGGCACGTTAGCACCAAGCTTAAAATTGTTCGGATTTTGGTCAAAGTGCTTTAATTGCAAAGATACAGAGGTTTCATGTATTTGGTGATCACATGAAAGTCTACTAATCTGATTGCGAAGTGCACCAATTAAGTGACCACCAGTGAAATTTACCATCTTAAGTTTAAATCTGATTGAAGTGCTCTGGTAGTCCTTATAGTTTCAAATTGCTTTGCCATTATTCACTCCCTTAATTTCAATACGTCAATCAACATATCTTGTTTTGATGTCATGATAGATGATTAACACCAATCAGCAATGATTTGAATTATCTTGGTTTTTTCCTTTTTCTTGGTGGCCATGTTGCTGTGCCTTGATCTGTTTAGTTTCAAATGGAAAACTTGCTCCAGGTAACTAGATCTGACTCTGGTGTCAACTTATGACTTACTAGTTGGACACTTAGAAATATTCACAATGGATTGTAGGTGATTGCAGTGTAGTTGAATTGAGGTCCCAATCCTTTATGTAAATCTCATATTTTGAAAAGTTTTGGTAAAAAGGAATGGCATTTCTTACTAGAACATAGCTATTAGTTGCAAAAGCGCATAAAAAAGCATGATATGGTAAATTGTTGAGAAAATTTCGCACTTTCATTTTGGGACCTCATTGACATGGTATAAACTTTAATTTGCATTTCTGTGGGAAACTCTATGCAAACAGGAAGTCAGAGATTCATAACTGATACTACTCTGTTTGTTCCATAGCCAACTCAACTTGTAACTTCTAATATTGTAAAAAGACCAAAAGAAAAAAAATGGCCTAGAACATATAAAAGAAAATTCATGACACTTCAACAAGAACCTTAAATACACAAAAACAATGGAAATTATTTGCTGAGGTAGTTAAAATTGCTTTTTTTAACTAGGATATTGGAAAGGGCTCCACAAAATTTAATCGTAAGATCGAATCATTAAATGGTAAGGTTTTACAAAGCTTGTAAAGTTTGATACATACCATAACAAAAAGTTCCATACCATTAAATAAGTGGTAGAAGCATGTTGATCAAATACATTATACTGCCCGCATGGTATATAGAAATATTGATACAATTTAGGATTATTTAGGAAAACATGTGCATGCCACAAAAAACTTCGAAGCTTTATTATTTGTTGCTGCTGAATGGTTGAAGGTGATGGGGTGGTGTTGAAGGTTATTGGTGGTTGCTTGGTGGTAAAGGGGATTTTTATGGCTGCTTCGTTGAGTAAAGAGTGAGCCCACTACACTGTTGTGAATTGGGCATGAGGGGATTATTTTTCTTTATTTTATTTTGTTATTTTCTTTTCTTTTTCGATTTATGCTGATGTGACGAACCATTTCACAAAACTTCAATATGGCCTGCATTGTTTTATTTGCTGTTGGGCCAAAAAGAAGCCTGCAATTCCCAAGGAAGGGGGCTTGGGCCAATAAAGTCAGCTCAACGATTCTCAACTAGTTGACTTGCAGTTTTGGCAATTTTGCCTAGTCAACTCATGATTTTACTTCGACTTCACTAGGCACAAGATTTTGCAGCTAGTTAACTCAATTTCCATGATTTGGCTCGTTACTATTCTACAAGCCAAATCTCTATTTTAACTACATTTGTATTGCTTTCTACTGAAGCATTCAAATGAGATGAGACTATTCTTACACACACAAGCTGTGACTTGTCTATGCTTGCGGTTGAAACAAGCTAAAGAGGTAGGTCAGAGGTACAGAATAGAGGAGGGTCAAGAGGACTGTAGAGCCCAAGTCAGAGGTGTTGAGAAGCTGAGCCTTCTCAGAGGGCATGCATCTTGAATTCAACAGTCCTTGGAGGTCTGATGGCTGGAGTTGGAGGCGTCGACTGCTGGTCGAATCTTTTAAAAGATGAATTAAAATGAATCATATGATTTGGACCATGAATCGGACAATTTCTACAACATTGGCTGGTTCACATAGTTTTCTGCTATTATGTAAATTTTGGCCAAAAGGCCATTCCCCTTGCCCCAAAAACCTTTTCTGAGGGAAGATGCAGACTCTGCCTTTTACTGTGTGTTGGCTGGTTGACTGAACAAGGTTAATCGAAAGATTTTCCTCCTTCATTTGTTGCTTTTCTTTCGTTTTGATAGCTTTGCATGCATCTTCTTTGTGGAATTTTTATGGGATTTTCTGTACTGGTTCCTGATGACTTCACGTATAATGATTTACTTTTGTTGCCATCTTTTGGTATTTAGTGACACCCCAAGCTTTGATCATGCATATTGCACTATCTCTTTGATATGAGAAAAACTAGTTAATTAGGAAATTATACTATTTATCCTGGTCCTCCTTTGTTAGTTCAGGTCTTCCACACAGACACAGGCTTTTTGCCAGGTTTACATGTACCATGCAAGGCAAAATTATTGCAGCTTATATTGGATGCTAGTCATTCTTGTTATTTATTTTTTATAAACCTTTGTGTTCACTGCAAATGTTGTTTTGATCCAGGTCATGGAGTTGACCACTGATGTACAGCTCATATTGGATGCTGTGCGAAATTCAGCTATTGTGGAAGTGCAGGTATCTTTTTCAAGCAGTTCAGTAGGATTCACTCCACTTGTATGTTAGTGTGGTGCTACCGAATGTTCTGTATAATTTGCACAACCAGATTCGGTTCTCTTCTTCTCTGACTTATGATCATTCTTGTGCCTTATATTATGACCCACAGGCCGAGAAAGTCAGGAGGCGCGCTGATTGGATGAGATGGGTCTTGTCTACATCTGCTCATTCTTCAGGCATCACAAGCCCTCGGTTCCCCGACTCTCTGAGTCACGATACTGTTGCATCTGGAATTGAATCGGTCTCTCTCAATGTCAGGGATACAAGATTTGACTATATGGTCGGTCATGCCGATGCTCATGCGGCTATATCAAGGACGTTAGAGGAGTTCAATCGTATTGGCGAAACAGGCCAGACTAGCACTGCAGGAACAAGCACATGAAGCACATGCTGTTGCATGTTTTACCAAGAGGGGATCATGGAGGATTTGTTACGACTAATGTTATGCTTGCTTTGTAGTCTTACCGTGGCTTACAAATCCAGAGAAAAAGAAAGAAAAGGAGCAGAAGATACAATATCGTGAAAGGGCGGAAGAGCGTGCAATTGAAGTCCTTGAGTCGTGCTGATTGCATGAGTATACTGGTTTATTCATGTGGTTTTGTGGAAATTTTCTATAGATATTTATGGTCTATATGCTGATGACATCATGAGGGGATTTTTGTTGCGTGTCCCTTTACTGCCCCTTAGTTCATTTTTTCAATCTTTGGGGTCAGATTACATTTTCTTTCCGTGTGAAGGACGATTCTGATGGCGGGAAGTTACCGATAGTGGACAACATATTGCATGCGGCGACAATGGAGGGGTTGGCGTACCAGTTGCGGAAGGTGCGCCGAAAGTCTTGGTACTTACACTCGTGCGCGACTTTCAAAGTTGTTAGCGCTCATCTCATTTGTCAAATACGAAAAATTATTGTTTTTTTAATCGCACTTTCTTCGGGACCTCGAAGAGTTTTTTTTGCATGTACTACTCCTGGACCATTGTGTGGATGATATTCCTGAGAGTTACTGATCTGATCTGATCCGATGCTTTCGGTGGTATGTGAATCGGAGATCGGAAACTCTAGAAACTCTTCTTTTTTTCCTGTGACGGGTTGGGAATGTTATATTCGTACTCTTTACATTGTGGAGGCAACTGACAGGGACCTTTCTTTTCATTAAAGAAAAGAGACATGGACGTTTTCTTTCCTTAGTATTTGCACATTTATTTACGTACGAAGCTACAGGGTGGAGATTTATAATTGGGAAACTCTTTCTTGTCCGTGCTTCGAGTAACTCCGTTTTCGAAATGCCAATTGTTGGTAGGTAGGCGGGGGTGGTGAGACCGCGAATTTGCCAATCCATTGGAAAGTTACCTGAGTTATATAGCCTATGGTGTCAAGTTCAGAGAGTTGCTGATTCTTAAATCACATTCTTGTGTGTAGGGTTCAACCACTTCATTGTCGAACTAAACGTGTGAAAAAAATCGTAGACGAATTGGATCGCAAATCAGTTGGCTCTCTGGTTTGTGCAAACCTTTGTCGGAGTTTGGTGGTGAATCTTGCGTCGGATTTGTGAACCTCTCTGTTCGGGTGTTGTTCCGTTTAGGACTTCGTGCGACATGCCGTGTCATTCATTCGTGGATGGTTTTGTCTTGTTTGGTCGATAACGCTTCTTCGAGTACGGGATGCGTTAGGGCCGGGAAAGCTTTTTGCGTCGGTGTACTTTCACCATTGAAGCAAAACCTCAGATTTCTATCCTTTTCCTTCGAATTTCTCTTTCTTTTTTCTCTTCGCCAGCTTAACTCTTTCAATATCTTATCTGAGAACTTATTCGAATAATAAAACCACGTCTCATGCTAGATACATATTGAGCGGACCCCATGGTAGGCTAGTTTTTGAGCATTTTATAGCTAACTATTCTCTTTCTCTTCAGTAGTTTTTGAACTTAAGTTATATGTCAGACGCCTCTCCTGGACTCAAATTAGATCAGTCTAAGAGGAGAAAGCTTTTTCTCTGGGTTTAAGTTAAATTAATCTGAATCAAGATGCTTGATTCTTTCCTATGTCTAGAGGAGAAAGCTTTTTCACGAAATATGAAGAATTGATGAAAGGAGACATTAAAAGAAAAAAAAGAAATACTTGGAAATAATTTAGAGAAATGACATTGAACGTGCCCAATTCGACAAACGCAGAAAGAAGATGTATATCTTGAAAAGCTTCATACTAAAACTGAATAAGATAGGCAGGCAACTATCAAGATTAATCTTTCAAAATCAAAACTTGAGAGAAATCAGGGATGATCGCAATTCAAAAGGGGAGAAAGGTAAAAAAAAAAAAGAAAGGAGAAGCATATCTTAATACATCTATTTAAAAAGTTCATTGTCTTATTTTGGAAAAATGAAAATTCATAAAAAATCTTGAATTGAGTTCCATACGAAAGTACAGGGATTACTTGATATTAGTTGGACGAATTGCTCGTGCGGCATTATAACAACATCTCTCCACCCTCCAAGCAATTTGAGCTAAAGCAAAGCTCAAATTAGAAATTATCGTTATATGATCGTTCTATAAGCAAAAAGATCGTGGACAATCAAATTGTGGCTGATTGGCACAGTACGGAAGAAGCGACAAATTTACATAATGTCGTATCTCTATGGTTTTTTTTATTTTTTGTTGAAGAAAATTATAGTCTGTAGCAATGATATATAATATTTCACACCACCACTTCATAAATCCGTTGTCGTCCAGCGGTTAGGATATCTGGCTTTCACCCAGGAGACCCGGGTTCGATTCCCGGCAACGGAAACTTTTTTGTTTTTTGCGCCAACTTTCATCAGAACAAAGAAGAAAATTTCCCGTCTGAGCGCTCTCTCTCTCTCCCATCATCCCATGGAGCATACGCATCAGGGTCCTATTTCTCATTTTAATCAATATTTTCAACAACTCAATCAACCGCTTAAATCTGTAATACTCAGTAACTCGTGCATGAAATCGATGTGAAAATGATACGCATGACGACAATCGACTAACAGCAGTCGATGTTCCTACCCCTGGCACAAGGACATGACGCTGCAAGTTTGATGCCAATCCCTGAACACTCATATAAATGGTGTATAGGATCTAGAGGTGTCAAAATGGGTCTTAAATCCATATATGACCCATTTATTTAAATGGGTCATATATGGGTCACTTTAATTTTAAAGAGTCAATCTTAAATGGGTTTTAAATTTTAAAGCTTAAAGATAAATGGTCTAAATGGGTTGAGTTTGGAATCCATGTCCAAGTAGAGGTGTCAAAATGGGTCTTAAACCCATATATGACCCATTTAAAAATAAATGGGTCATATATGGGTCACTTAATTTTAAAGAGTCAACCTTAAATGGATTTTAAATTTTAAAACTTAAAGATAAATGGGTCTAAATGGGTTGAGTTTGGAACCCATGTCCAACCCACCCACTAGACCCATCCACACACTCTCTTCCTCTTTATAAAAATGTTTAAAAAAATCGAAATTTAATTATTGTTATTTTTTCTCTTTTTCTTTTATTTTTTATTTTTTCTTTTCTCTTCTTTCTTTTTCTTTTTTTTTTATTCCGGCCGGTGGTCGGCCACGGCGACCGGCCACCGGGGCGGGACGACCTTTTCTTAAAAAACAACACGCATTTCTAAAAATATTTTCTAGAAATGTCGCATTTTTCGTAAAACAAACAGAACCTCAATTTTAAAAAAAATTATAAAAAATTTTCACTAGCTTTGTATTGCATAAAATATTTTAGCAGTATAATTTTTAAAAAAAAATCATAAGAAACAAGTATTCCTAGATTAGGTTAAATATAAAAGTGTTTTAGCAATATGGGTCGGGTCGGGTATGAGTTGGGTATGGATCGAGATATTTACACTATGAATAAATAGGTCATAAACGGGTTAATGGGTCAATTTGGGTCAGACCATTTATGACCCGACCCGACCTACCCGTTTAACAGGTCTATGTCCAACCCACCTACTAGATCCATCCACACACTCTCTCCCTCTTTACAAAAATGTTTAAAAAAAATCGAAATTTAATTATTTTTTTCTCTTTTTCTTTTATTTTTTCTTTTTTCTTTTCTCTTCTATCTTTTTCTTTTTTTTTATTCCGGCCGGTGGTCAGCCACGGAAACCGGCCACCGGGGCGGGACGACCTCGCCGGAGGCCGGCGAAGCTCGAGCTCGCCGGCCTCGGGCGAGGCTTGAGCCTCGCCGATCGGGCGAGCCTCGAGCTCGCCCGGTCGGCGAGGCTCGAGCCTCGCCGATCCGGCGAGCCTCCGAGCCTCGCCCGACTCGGCGAGACTCGAGGCTCGCCGGCCTCGGCGAGGCTCCGGCCTCACCGGATTTGGCGAGACTCGAGCCTCGCTGAGGCTCGCGAGACTCGACCTCACCGGCCTTGGCGAGGTGGAGTTCGCCCGAGGCTAGCGAGACTCGAGCTTGCCGGCCTCGGGCGAGGCGAGTTCGCCGAGGCTAGCGAGCCCGAAGCCACGGCGAGGCGAGGCTCCACCACGTCGAGCCGCGAGCGAGCGAGCTCGAGTCTCGCTCATCGGCGAGGTCGGAGCCTCGAGGCCGGCGAGAACGAGCTGCCGGCCTCCGGCGAGCTCGTCCTCGCCTGTGGTCGGTCGCCGGCCACAGCGGCCGGCGATCGGCCAAAAATAAAGAAAAAAATAAAAAAATAACTAAAATTCAATTTAAAAAATAAAAAAAAATATTTTCTTGGATAATGACTTTATGGAAAATATTTTTTAGAAATGTCGCATTTTTCGTAAAACAAACAGAACCTCAATTTTAAAAAAAATTATAAATTTTTTTCACTAACTCTGTATTGCATAAAATGTTTTAGCAGTATAATTTTAAAAAAAAATCATAAAAAACAAGTATTCATAGATTAGATTAAATATAAAAGTGTTTTAGCAATATGGGTCGGATCGGATCGGGTATGGGTTGGGTATGGATCGGATCGGGTATGGGTCAAGATATTTACACTATGAATAAATGGGTCATAAACGGGTTAATAGGTCAATTTGGGTCGGACCATTTATGACCCGACCCGACCCACCCGTTTAACAGGTCTAATAGGATCCATGGCCCGATTCGTTAGAATATATATTCCATCCGGCCAGCAGCTCATTCAACCACGGGGAACACGGACAACCCCAATCAACCGAATCAAGGTTCAAATGCATACACATTGCAATAATAAAATCAATAAGGCCACCAGTCTGGAGAATTTTAGTAACATTGAAAGGGAACTGGAGTCCTAAACCAGGCTCCTGCCAACCAATAATGCGACCATAACGAACCACTATCTACATTCAGGATCAAAGCAAAAGTCATACCGGATGTTTCGACAACTAAAAAACTGACGCAGCAAAATAAACACAAATCATCTCCATAGGTTGTTCAAGTGGAGACTTAAAAGACATATCATTCAAACGCCCACTGGTTCTCCCGCCGCACCTCTTCCTCCTCCTCTGGTGTGAAGTCGTTCTTGATGCTGAAGGTCTTGCGAATCTCCTCAGGGGTCTTGCCTTTGATCATGTCGGCCACCGTCTGGCATGTCAGGTCCAACAAGCTCTTGATGTTCAGGTAGTTTGCAGCCTGATTAAACACACATTCACACAAGCGTCAAACTAATAACTAATTGGATCAGTTTGAGCAAAAAAGTTGGCCATGTCGCATCAAGTCCGTCATTTGTTGAGACACATAACCCTTTAAAATCAAGACCTTGGCATATTTAATGAACATTTAGATTTCTCCAAAGTCTGAGACCCCATCCAGGCTGGAATTGTACAATCAGCTTCAAGGTGGAAACCACCACTGTGTTGGACCCTCCCGCACAAATCGTGCAGTTGCGTGGGTGCAGAACAAGCACTAGTTTCCTAATTCTATGCTAAATGTGAAAATTACCAATTCATTCCTCACTGAAAAAAAGATTGAACACGGTTTCCCTTCCCCAATATTTTTTAAAGATTTATGACTCGATAACATAGGTCTAGAGCAGGATGCAGAAACATCAAACAATGTGATGTTTAATCACACAAAAAATTTCATACTCCGGCCTCAAAGGCTAAGACAACAACTGAAAATTTAGCAATACTTAGCACAAGGAGCAGGTAAGGCACGTCAAATACAACACCAACATCTGAAGCTAAATTTATGGATAATTACACAGTCCCTAAATTCAATGTGAGAAAAAATTAACAAATGTACACCTAGAAAGGCACTTCATATCAAAGATGCTACTTGAAGTCTTCAACATGTCGTTTAAAGGAGCATACACATGGCTCATACAATCTGAACATGCACTGTGAAAAGCACTAAATAGTGGATGTAGACCTAGTAGCTTATTCATTGAAGAGCAAACTATATTGTCGGTTAGAAGGTAGAAGTGTTTCCATAAAGGAAGGAAAAAAACAGGATCTATGGAAGTAATTCTCACAGTGAGTTTCCAACCCACTTGAAGAAAGCAATTAGACAAACTTCCTTTATATATTACATGAGCCATAAGACAGATTAACAAAGTAACCATTTAGAGAAACATGGATATAATCGAGTCTATATTGCATGCCAGATGAGCCATTAATACCCACGCACTGATTTATACAATGAGATATATAGGAACAACAGGGAATTGCCCCCGCTATTTAAAACCATTACTCAACATTAGTTCTTCATGCCCTCATAATAATATAATATGCCAAATTCGATATACAAACAAAATCTTCCCAACGAATCTAACTTTCTAGACAATTCAACTAATCTCCCCAAAACTCAAAGGGTTTCCTATTGTTTATAGGCCGGTCTGTGTAATTTAATTTACAGAGGCTCTACCAGGATGCACATATCGTGATGCATATCAATTGAAAAGAAAGTATCCAATTCCAGTCCTTGTTTACCGTTCAACCCCTTTAGCGTGACGTTCCGTAGCAAACTGATCTTATTTGCCAGACACATGAGAAGAAAAAAAAGGAAAAACAAAAGAGAACAAGTGGAAACACATGAAACGCATCTCTATCAATAGATCAAACTTCACACAAACACAGGCCGCCATCCCCAGTCCTCTTCAGCCACCTACATTCGACAAATTCAACGGAAATCCCCTAAATCCCTCATCAAGACCAGCCACTAACTTCCCAATCTTATAAGAAAAAAATCCAGTTTTTTTCAGCACAAAAAATCGATCGAACCGAACAAGCGAAACCCTAATCCCCCGATTTCCAAAACCTAGCCCCAACCAAATCCCCATCAAAATAGCCTACCAAAACCTAATTCAAGACCAACACGCCAACCTCCTGCCCAAAAATTAAAAAAAAAAAAAACCAAAACAAGAAGGGAAAGAGGAGAAGAATCACCGACCAGGATGAGGTCAAACAGGGTGCCCTGGTCGACCTTGACGAACTCGGCGTCCCAGGCCTTGAGATCGTCGTCGTTGACGCGATCCTCGGCCTTGGCCGACTCGACGTGCTTCTTGCAGTACTCGATGACCTTGGCCAGGATCTTGCTGGTCACGTTGGGCAGCGGGATCGCGTTGTCGGCGCAGTCGTCCTCGATCATGTGCTTGATCGTCTGCGACTCCACCGCCACCGGCTCCTCCACCTCGAACGACTCCCCGTCGGAGCTCCGCAGCGTTATCTTCCTCGGCGACGCCATCCGCTCCCCCCCTCCGCGAAGATCCGCCGGCGGCGAACGATCGTCGTCTCCCTCCCTCCCTCTCTTTCCCCCCCGCGCGAAGAAATCAGCAACGGACTCTTTCGCTCGCTTGCCTCGTCCGCTTTTCCCGAGAATCAAATCGCGAAATCGATCAGGTGTGGCCAGTGCCGCGCGCGTGTGTATATATATACAGGGAGAGCTCGATCGGGTGCTGCGCGCGGTAGGGTAGCGGTACCGCCCCGGCCAGTGAGGCGCCGACACGTGTGGGTCTTGCCTTTTTCTCGATCCAATCGTCGGCTACGTGGAAAGGCGTATCCATCCCGGAATTATACGATTCGATTCGGTTTTTTTTTTGGGAGTTTCGCCAAAAGAGGAGGAAGTTGTCTTCTCTCTCTCTCCATCGATCCGACGAGACTTTTCGGCCAAAAAAATTCAGTTTCCGTTTTTGTTTTTTTTATTTTGTTGCCGTAAATAACGATGCACTTCGCCTAATTCAGATTTCTAGACGCGTTTTAATAATTCGATACCCTCTCGTGTGATTTTCTTTTTTGAAATTTAGTATAATCCTATTTCCGAATTTTGAAAAGAAAACCTAAATCTAAATCTATATCTATATCTATATCTATATCTATATCTAAATCTGCCGCCGGGGCATGAACTTTGGGTCGAAGGATTTATCTGCTACCGTCTTTATATTTTATCTGGTTTCCCATTACAAGTTGTGATAGATTTTTCCTTTTATGTAGAGTATGCGGAGGTCGTACGTATACATTAGACTAGTCAACTTAGCTCATATTTGCTCATATTTAAGGGGTTGAGTCGTTATACGGATTTATTACATGCAGTGAATGTATCATAAATGGATTTAGAGTGATAAAGCCCAAACTAATGTACGTGGTAAATAAGTTCACAACTTATTTAGACTTAGCCTATCTCTATGACTTTCTTTTTTCTCTCTCTCCACTCATTCCACACTCTCTCACCTCGATTTGAATATGAATTTTCTTAAATTTGATTAAATATAGAAATATTCTAACAATATGGGTCAGATCGGATATGAGTCAGGTCAGGAATGGGTCATTAGATCCGTATTGCATAGAAATGAGTCAAAATGGGTAAAATGCGTCAATTTGGGTCGGACAATTTTCCATCCGACCCACCCATTTGATGGATTTACGTATGCGATCTTATCTCCACTGCCCAAGCCCATGCTCAGGTCGACTGATAAGAAATGCAGCTATTTGCTATTACTTTAAGTACGATCGCATCAAGAATTAAAATATACACTTGAAAGCGGAACTCTCCGCTCCATCCTCCGGAGCTGTCATCACGTAGCTGCTCAAGTTAATGGCAAGAATGGTCGTTTTGACCTAGAAGAGCACAACAACATAATTGAAGGATCTCATTCACCCTGTGTGGTCGCAAATTTTTGGTATGAACAGACGCGAAAACCAAATTTAAGACAATGGCAGGCCGACACCGAGGATCCTTCTATGATACACCAGACTATCGAGTTTGAGAGATTTTAAAGGAACTGCTTTACAGTGTGTGTATGTTATGCTGGAGAAGTTCCTGGAGGCGACTAGATATCGCCTCTATGTTATGTTCCCGAGGCATCCGATGTGCTCCGCTCGCGAGTTCTGCTTAAGATTCCATGTATTGTGAGGGAGGAGGGCTTGTTTTCGTCTTCTCAGGACCTGCAGGTTGGTACATTAGATACGTCTCCTTTTCAGTTTCAAGAATCCGCGAAGATTCGAAACAAAGAAAAATTATGCCTCGAGTCAGAAAAATCGGCCGAGCCTCATAGCAATCGAGGAACTCGAGACTGCATTTGCGGGCGTGCATGTGTGTGGATGCAACGAGAATAGAGTAAAAAGGAAAGGCCATTGCCACATGGAGATCGTTTCAAAGATATACTTCAGTATCATCTTTGAACACTGTTGCTGCTCGCACAAGATATGAGATTCTTATGCTGACAAGGGAAGTCGAAGGACTTACCGCAGAGCCCTCGGATCTCCACTTCTCTCCATTCTTGGACAAGGGCACAGCAGCAGCACATAAAATGGGAGAGGAAATCATCAAACCAACCTCCCTGCCAAAATTAGACGACGAAAAGTGAAGAATACAAATAGGGTGAGTAGTTCTCTTCTCCTATTCTTTCTTGGAATCCATTCCACCATCCAAAGCAAATAACTCTGTAAGCCTATGCTCCGTGAAAATTAGCGCACCAATTCCACAAAAAGAAAATGTGGAACTTCCAACTTAATAAACCCGAAATCCTATAGAATCAGGGTGGAGGTTATTTGGAGCCACACCCACTATCAGCAGGACCGTTTGGAAATTCCCAAAAGATTTCAAGATCATCTTCATGGAGAGGAAGAGGATCAAGTGGAAAGATAATTCATTCAGCTTTGTCATCGCTCGGTTCAGTAAATATGACAGGTTTTGACGTTTGATAAGAAAATTACCGTTATGTTCAGCATCTTGCGGAGTTTCCTTCGGACACAGCACGTGTAGCAACAGCAGGACAGTATTAACGAATAGGCCAACAAGTCATTGCATGCTTCGCCTGCACCTGGTGAATATGTGAAAATTTCTTCAGTAGCATTCATGAAATAGAAGGAAGCACAGAGTCCTTACGATTATGCAAAGTTGTCAAAATTACATTTGAGGAGGAAGGCAGTGTCATATATCTACATGCTTAATTACAATCAAGTGATTCCCCATTTTCATATTCAGACAAATAACCGGCACAGAGTGTACACTCATGTATTACTATGCGTGGATCCACGAGTGCATACACTTTGTGACCTCCGCAAACGCATAAAAAGATGTACTTCAAATTCAAAGTTTCAACATCGTAAAGGCATTTTTTTACATGCACCAATGCTACACGTTCATAGACAAGTTCATCTTCAGAGAATCACGAAAAATTGCCTAACAATACATGAAAACCAGACAAGATGTAAAGCTGTGATGTTGTAGTTAACTTACAACTGCAGCAGAATAACCAACTTAAAAAAATATGCGTAGACCAATCGAGCTAAAATCGACAACAAATGATGGAAGCAAGGAAGGATGCTCAAACTTTGGAAGCATGAGCATAGGACTATAGTGAGATTTTTCCTATGCTCTCATGATACAGATGTGTTCTACATTACTAAAACATTCAATGGAGGGTGTTTACTGAAATGAAGTGGTTAGAAGAGACTATAATTGTGAAATGAGAAAATATCTTTGGTCCATCACAGACTTGGTGATTCAAGCTCATGTGAATTGGACCAAGTATCAGGATACTGGAAGTTCCGTGCAGATTACTGGCAAACATTGATACTAGTAAGCATTTGGTGTGTCTGTTTGATGTAAGAGAACATTCAAGCTCCTTCTAAAGTGGAAAGGGAATAGTAACTGGAAGATCTTGAACTAAAAGATGTTTTACTTAGCACGTGCACAAGTAATTCTGCATTTCAGGTTGACAGTTTCAATAGAGGAACAAACTTAACTTCCTTGGAAGCACTCACCGACAAGGTATCCACATAAGCCATACAAGGACTAATGGATGGCAATAGGAGAGCTAACTCAGTTGATAGTCAACATATATGACTATGAGCAAAAAAACTAAGCCAAGAGCAAGAGTGCCTCTTAAAATTCCTTCCTTTAGCGCAGTCTCCAAAGGCTTAGATCTTGTATGTTTTTTGCCTTTTCAAGCAGAAGCAAAATACTAAATGTATAAATGAAATCTCCACAGAATTCTACGCTTCAATTTTTATGCCTTTTCCTGTACAAATATGGTAACAACTAAATGAAATATTTTCTTCCACAAATTATCTTGGGCATGAGCATAAGTCATGTACCTTTGCATCATATAATAGACAATCCTGTGGTAGACAGACCACATATTATCTCATCAGGGAGTTGACACATGGGCCACTAACCCGACTACTTTCTCCGCCTCTCAATCTCTCTTTTTCCTACTCTTCTTTGCTGTTCCCGCTAGTGGGGAGTGGGGGTTCGGAGTCTATGCAATCTAATGCTAAATGAATGCATGATAATTCATAGACAATCCAGACATCAAACAAACGATCAGCCATATAATTAAGGTTATCTTATAATGGAAGCTAAATAAGTGTATGGCATGAGATTTGCTTACTCATAGGCCTCTTAGTTGCCACAGTAGAAATCTTCGAAAATGTATCACAAGGGCAGAAGAATGTTTTAAAGCCTGCATATCAAGATAAGTTGTCAGAATGCAGGGCATATTGCACATGAATCAAGAACACGTGCTCGACAGTAACACAAATCGGTATTCATACATATAGCTAACCATTGCCCCTTAAAAAGAAAAACGTTGTCTGCATGTCTGGGTTCATACACAGCGAAGGACCACTGTGTGAGGAACAATAGACCACTCCAAGGGAAGGGAACTAGATAGTTCCTCTGAAAACCCCTGCTTAACACTTCACTAAGGGAAAAAGGGACTGCTTCTGTGGATAGAGGTAGTGAGCCTCATATGCCATCATTAAAGTGTGAAAGGTGGTGATAATGGAGGTACTGTCATAAACACAGAATTAATAGGATTTGTGGAATAAAGGGGCACCGGGGCGGAAAGGAATAAAGATAAATGGCTTTGGCGAGTCCAATGACAGGGAGATGTCGAATCATTGGGTTGAACTCGCCGAGGTTTACAAATTTCTCACAGGTAAAAGTATGAGATGTCGAACTTTATGGTTGTCTCACAAGAAGTTGCAGGAGGGAACTTACATAGAAGTGGTTCTGAGCAACAGTCCAGTAAGTCAGTGTGCCAGTCATAATGCCCATATGAACCTTTAGATGGGCGCAGATCATGGTCCAAGGAGACTGATGATGTACTTCTGTCCATCAAAAGAAGAAACAAATTCTCAAAGACATTTCCAACTCCTCAAGCTGGACACAAGGCAATGAAATACATGAAGCATATTCATAGGAACACCTCAAGCACTAAGACACTTCGAGGATGAAAGCGGTTAAACAGGAACGAAACTGGGTCATTTGTCAGTTTAAGTCAATGAAGTGATCCGAGGAAGAAGCAAAATTATCCCAACCAATGTCCTATTGTTGTTTGCAAGTGATCACTCTTAAACTTAACAGACTTGAGTACATTAGCCAGACAGGAGTCCATGAAAGATTGGGAAGGAGCCGATTACTGAAGGCAACAGTGGTGATGGTGATACATACAGGAGTCTAACTTCAAAGAAGACTGACCTTGAAGTTTTGCTAGCAGAACTTTTTTTAGGATATGTTTCACCAGCGGAATGTTCTCTGTCACTATCAGCGTCAGAGGTATTTTTCTCCTTTCTCTTGGATTCTTTGAGTGGTGAACCATCATCAAGGAGTGAATTTGAGGCAACAGTTTCTGTGACTTCAAGTAAGCGCTGAATTACTTCACACTGACTCATATCCAAATTTGCCTGTGACCGTTGAAGTTCCAGTTGAAGCTTCTCGTTCTCCTTCTTCAGAGCCTCATTGAAACAGAGGTTTGGATAGGAACAGGACAGAGTCTTCTTCAGCATCATGGTTTCATTTCTCGAAGGCTCATGCGTTAAGATTACACTTTGCACCTTCTGATCCTCATCGTCCAACGTGTATTCTCGTTGATCCCTCTCAATAACTTCCAACCTTTCCTGTAAATTAATGACAAAAAGATCCACCATGTCAAGCAAAAATGATCTTTCCCAATGAGGACTCAGAGATAAAGCAAGATCCTTGGAGGATTTACAGACAAGACTCGACATATAAATTTTCGGATGAACTACCCGGGTTTTCCTTCCAATCACCACTTTTCCCTGGACTTATACCTGGCAAGCTAACCAAAGTTAAACAAAATTTTGTCTGAGATCCATCATCAGCTGACCCTATTTAAACTTCATTGCAATCAAGTCATCACTCAGAATGCTATCGAGAAAATTCTGTAACCTTGTTGGTAACACATATCATCGGCACCTATGGACATGACCCTTTGATTAAAGGTTAGGGAATTCTTTTACCAACACACGCAATCCTCGTCTCAGATATACCGTCAGTATCAACTCCACGACACGGTCTTACGATCACAATAATCATCCACAACAACGTCGCCGAGAGCAAAAAGAAAAAATCTTTACCCGAACTCGAGCATTGTCCACGAGAGTAATGAGGGGGACGAGCTTCAAGTACCGGTCGATCTCGTTCTGAGCCCTCCTGAACTGATACACGATGTTCCACCCCATGGCCAACAGATAGAGGTAACTCCGGTCCTGGCAACTGTTGACCAAGATGTAAGACCTCCGCAGCGCGTCCTCGAGCTGCTCGATAGGCTCCCTCGTCTCCGGGTACCTCTTGAGCTCGGAGATCTTGAGCTGCTCCAGCAAGTTGCCGATCAGCTTCAGGTGCTGAGCGAACTGCCTGCAATTCTTCTTGTGCATCCGCGCCGTGTTGGCGGCCTTCACGATCATCCCAATCAGCCGGACGGCATCGAGGCCCGTGAGTTGGGCCACATTCGCAATCTCTCCGAAAGCTTCCCAAGTAGCCATATTGACCACTCAGCACAAGGAATTGACTCAGCTGGACACAAACCAAGATGTCTACAAGCCCACCACAGGATCTCTGATTCAAATGTTACTCACTAAACTCTCCACTAAAAGATGTCAAGAAGGTGCTAATAGTTGCGTGGAGACAGCAATTCCGGTCCCAATTCACCACATGCAAAAGCCGAATTGAAGCTTCTTTCTGTCCCGTCACCACTATCGAATTTTCGAAGCTCTTCGAAAATCACGTCGTTCCGTTAAGCTAAAACATTACGGAGCCGGATCAAGAGCTACCCTGCGAGATCTTCAGATGAACCCGCGAGTGCTCCGGAAGTTCACCTGCAGCAGCGAGATTGAGCGAAACTGAGAAAAGCTTCACCCAACAGAATATGACTCTGCGTTACGCCCGTTGACCCGCTTTTCAGCGGCGAAAAGGAAGAAGAAGAGAAGCGTTTCAATTCAGAAAGCAATGAATTTGCTTCGCTCGGTCTCTCCGAGGCGAAGCGACATTGTTACAGAGAAACGGACCCGTGAATTATCACGAACAGCACCTCCTCACTCGCCATAGCCCCGACCTCGCCCTTCAGCCCAGAGCTCCAGGACCTGCACAGAGAATTGCGCTCGTGAAAACCACTCGCGAGATCGAAACCGGCGCTCGCTGGCTCCGGCGAAATGCACACGAAGTCGTCGCTCAATCCAATAACTCCGAGCTAAGCGAAGCGCAGCTCCGGCGAAATGCACATGGAAAACTACCTCTCCCCCCCCCTCTCTCTCTCTCTCTCTCTCTCTCTCTTCCCCCCTCCCTCTCGCTCTCCCGTACAGAAAAAGCTTCGCGGGTCCCGGTAAAATTTCGTGCTTTTTTCCATATCGAAAATGAGCTTTTTCTTAGAGCTTTTCAGGTGGGTTTTTTTCTTTCAGGGTAAAGCGGACACTCCCATGCAAGAGAAAAGAGAAGGGGAAAAAGAGAGAGCAGAGCAGAGGAGACCAGTGCATCGGAGTGCGGGAGCGACAGACATTGCTTTGCGCAAAGGAGACCTGCCGGGTCTGCTGGCGATTCTTCTTCTCGTTCACCTGCCAACGACGACGTGCATTTTTGGGAGCATACGAGCGAGCACACACAGAAGAGAGAGAGACCTTGAGAAAACACGTTGTCCGATCTTTAATGGCGCATAGCATCGGTGTCGTCTCCCTCTCTCTCTCTCTCTCTCTCTCTCTCTCTCTATATCTCTGGCTGCAAGTGCAAGCGCAAGCGCAAGTGCAAGTGCAAGTGCCGCACGCTCCACATGCTGTCATGCACCACCCGCTCGAGACAAAGCGAAGACGAAGAAAGAAAGACGCACTGCTGTTTCTCCAGTTTGCTCGCTCCTGGCTGGGTGGTCCCGCGAGATTTACCGTTGTGCCCCTGGTAGGCATCCGTTATTGCGGTGAATGCCACCGGTAAGGGGGAGGAGGAGGAGCAGGACGCAACGAATACGGGCGTTGACCGTAAAAAATAAAAGCTGGATTTGATTTAATTCGCGAGAGCGGTAAATAAAAATAAATAATAAAAACGGGTTTTAATTAAAATTGAGAGGAGGGGGCAGACAGCTGGCGAGTGTACTGGGAAGGCGGCGAGGCACGTGCCCGCCTTTGCTTGTCGAGGGCGTGTGGTGGGTCGCTGGTCACGTGATCCCCCCTCCCCCAACCCCTCGGTATTAAAGCGAAATCCGCCTGCCAAGCTTTGGAAAAAAATCATGATCTGTTGTCGTCTGCACTCCACACTGATCTAGTCAGTGATTTGGATTATGATTTCCCTCTCAAAAAAAAAAAAGAAGAAAGAGGAAAATTAGGATTTCGCCCTCGGATCATGACAATGTACAAGTAGCCAGATTCGTCGAGATGGATCGATCGAAGTTTCAAGAATATTTGCCCGTCACTACCGATTGAGATCGACACAGTATGAATTATAAAAGTCGATTTTCTCAATCTTCTCTAGCCCGTTGGCTCCCGACTGGGCCTAAATCAAGCCGAACATGAGAAGCGGGAATGGTTCGCATTCTGCTCGATCCTTTCTTACACTCTGTGATTGAAAGGACATCTTGATAAAGTTCGAATTATTGAAGCACGTAGATGCCAAAGGTCTGGATTAATAGAGACATGAGGCTAATAAAGGTTTTGCCACAAGCCTTTTAGGTAACGAGTCTCGGCTTTCGTGCCTCTAGATTAAAAGAGGGAGACTTACGTCAAGATGCCTTTAACAACTGTCGTTGAGAAGCATGATTACTCCCACGAATTCAACGTGAATCGGGAAATGGTTCCTTTGCCTAGGTGAACATTTGCAATGCCCTAGTCCTCCGATTGAAGGAGAGAAAAACAAAATAGAAAAGCATCTTCGAAATCATGGACGTGTGAAAAGGTCAGACCCCATCATCAACTAGCATGTGCACCAATAAGTCCTTAGCTGATTAACACCCTCGTTCATCGTGCTGGAGATAAAAGCTTCAGCAGAACAAATTCAATTCGATTGCATTTACATGCCATCATTTACCTATTCTTCTGTCAATTACTGCCTAAATTAGCTATTATGATACATTGAATTGAGAGATACGCATGGAACTATTCTTCTTGTGACGTAACCGTGGAAGATTAAATTGAGTAAGAACCGTAAAAAAGACACGAAATTTCACTCTTTTTTATCGGCCTAATTCCCAAAAAAAAAAATCAAATTTCACTTTGAGTGACAATTATGATTCGAACTATATTTTGTCTCAAAGGGCCATATTTGGGACTTTTTTGGAATTAGCCCATTTTTTACCACCTTATTGATCTTTATTCAGCAGGGTCGGCGAAAACAACTCTACCCAAAATTAAACAAAATAAGAATAAATCGTTATTTTTACCGTCAGTTCAGAGATAAAATTAGCCCATACAATGTAACAAGTAGATTTAAAAGCGGGGGCATATATGTCAATCGATGGACAGGGATGGTACGAGTGGGGATAGCGCACTAATCACAACGCCACGTGTCCAACAATTATTTGTTTTTTTCCCCTTAGCCATCGTGCCCGTCTTAGTCCCTCTCGATCAATCTGTCCCTTACGATGTAAGCCAAATTGAAAAATTGATAATCCAACAACCTTAGGGGCGGCCCGACTAGATTCCATTGCACTAGCAAAAAGTTCAGAATTTGTGGAAAATGCCCGGCTGAATAAATTAATCAAATATTCATAAAAAAAAAATTTCCTTTTGAAGAGTTAAATGAGAGCAAGCAATACCGTGGAGGATTTTAAATATATGAAAGGAAGGGAATGGCAAAAAAAAATTAAATAGGAAAAATGAGCCAATGGAATTTTTATGCATAGTTATTATGTAAATGTGTTTACTGACTATTCTTACTTTGATAGATATGAAGCATCGATCCTATTGTGTAAGTATTTTAGGTGTCGGTCCATGGGGATAACGTTTATTATATAGGCAAAAGAAAGAGAGATAAATTGTTGAAGGGGAGAGAAAATGATAAAGTGAAACATGTGACTTGACGCCGTGCTTGGTACGATAGAGAGAACTGTTGTGGAATAGGATATGAATGAAACGGGACGAAATAGAAAAGGTATTCTAATTTCTTTATTTGGTTTTCTTAAAAAATGGGCCGGAATGGAATGGAACGGAACGGAACGGAAATGGACGAAACTTCTACGGATTAAAATTTCTAATTCGTTAAATAACTGGCATTCAATTAAAATTATAATTTTGTTATACGATAGTTACATTTGAGTTTTAAAAATACGTCTGATTCTACAATGCATTATTATATTAATACCAAATTATTTATTTCAACATCCACGCGAGATTCATCTATTTCATTTGAAAACAGCATTAACTGTAAAATATTATTTAACAATACATAAAAATCATAACAGATTCTAATAATCAAACACACCAAGAGAGATGCTTTTGCCTAATCTCATTGCAAAAGAAACCCCTTTTGCCGGAGCAAACGACAACCGTAAACCATTCCAACCGTTAAAAATAGGGACCGTCTCGAATACATAATAGGCAACACGATGCATTGATAGCATAATCGCGACAACATACGAGAATTCAAACGTAGAATGGACAACCGATCTTCTTATGAAAAGGTGTCCACAATCAAGTTACCTGTTAAATCAGTTTTTAGCCGACGATCAATTTTCTCGAGAAGAAAAAAAAAATGAAGGGACGTGACCCGATCTAATGATTTGACCGGAAAAATGCTGATGAGCCACCGCTCCCGCCATCGATACGGCAGAGCCGACCAACGACAATTACCAATTCGAGACGCGCCCCTCTTAAAATACAATAAGTAAAGGTGAATTCTTGCAGTAAAAATAAATATATAAATAGATAATAGAATAATTATTTTCCTCGACTTTGGAAAAAGGGAATAAGAATGATCCTTCCTCTTCCAAGCCTGCCCCAGATATCACCTCCCACTTATCTTCCTCCCGTCCAAATTTTTCTTTTCACACCAATCGCTGATAAAATTTCCAGAATCGCCCAATTACTAAAATTTTTGGGGGTAGGAAAAGAACAAAGAGGGACCAAATCCCAATTACAGCCACCGCTAAAAAAGTACAAAATCGTCAGTTAACGTAGGTTGGAGATCACACAAACTGTCGGTTTTATACTATGTTTGGGAGTTCTCGATGCGATTCCTGATTTCCTAATCGACCTTAATTTACCATTTTAACCGCGCACGTCCTTTTCTGACAAGAGGGCTGTTTGTTTCTCCACCAACTTTGTAATTTACTCTTGTTTTTTCACTTCCATTAGATTAGTAAAATTTTTTTTGATCTCTTGGTCTTGTGCCATGTGAGTCTTCAATGTGACAAAGACCCACTTTGTCTTTTGTTTAGATTAGATTAGATAAGTGATTGTGGTAAGGGGAGGAAGAACGTAAGCGGTGACCTTTCACATTGTCATCTTTAGTCCGCCTCTCTCACGAGACGGATTTACCATGATTCTTTATCGCGGAGTCCTGTTGATGCGCGATCTTCTTGGGTCTTGTCTGATTTGCTCGAACTTCCGAAGGACCGGGCTTAGCTGTAAACCATAAAGTAAAAGAAGTCTCTCGGATTTTGCCTCGGGAAGACCCTCTGATGCTCGGGTTGGTGAACGAGAGGGATGGAGAGGTGAGCGGAAGAGAGGGATTTGGGGGGAAAGGAAATTGCTTGATACCCTTGTTGGGTGCCCTCTGAGGGTTGAAAAGTGTCCTCAATGGGCGGATTGAGCCAACCCACATGTATCGAGCGACGGTCTAGCCTCTCTCTTTAGGCCTTCAAGGCAGGGTGCGAGCATGTCTAGTCCCGTGGTCGGGTTTCGTGGGCTAAGCATTTTGGAGGTTGCAATCTCTCTTGGGATTGACGCCCTTATGGGTCAAGCCATTACTAAGTTACTTTAGCGGACTTGAGCACGTGATAGGAAGTGAAAAATTTTGGCCAACAAGCTCATTTGGTATCCCTATTAGATCATAATCTTTGTCAATGTATAACAACTAAGATTGATTTCAAAATCAAGAGTCATGACCTTTTAATGTCAATAGGTCATTTTCTCCCATAGACGAAAAGTTACATTCGTCAAATTTTTGGAGTTGTAATTTTTTCAATCTAAAAAAGTCACACATTTTCAGTGATTGCATTGATTTGAAAGTCACAAGCGTTCAAATTTAATACTTACTTCCTTTCACAATGAAAAGTCATATCTTTTCATTTTCCATAAACATACATACATGTATATACTAAAAGTCATCGTAATAATACAATATTTATAATATAAACTGCTTTGAAAATCCCCAATAATTTCTCATACCATATTACTCATGATTTTCAGTTTCATTTTTTTTATTATTTTTGTTATATTGATCCAGTTCTAGGAGTTGTAACTTTTCAACTAGAAGTCACATTTCGACCAACAAAAAAAACTTAAAGTCACATCTTTTGAGTAATCTGAAAGACATCTTTTCTTTTAGCAAAAAAAAAGAAAAAGAAAAACATCTTTTCATTCTACTCTCCTCGTGATAAATTCATAGCCAAAATACTTATAAAAATAAACTAATTTGGAAATCGCCAACAATATATGTGTATACTATGTTACTCGTGATCCTCTATTTCAATTTTACATTGCTTTTGTTTTTCGCACCGTGTCGGGTTCGATCCAACACACCGAGAAAATCGGGCACTTCTATAATTTAACATTGGGCCGTACACCATCGAACTTAGTAGTCGGGATGACACGAGTCTACAAAAATATCAGCTAATTGATAAGTCCAAGCCGTTGAACGATAATAATTATACGATGCATTGCTATACCTTAAAAAATTCCCCAAGAAACCACCCGAATCTCCAAGATCCGATTTCCGGGACTATTTATGTCATTTTAAATGCTACTAATTACTTGTAATATTTTTCCTTTTGCTCTATTTTTTTTCCCAGAGATCATTAGTGTTTTATTAACCAACGGGAGTTGCTATCAGTCAGTTGTTTCCACATGGCTTTCCACGTCTGAATTTTCAGTCCCTTTCAACTACAACTCAAGAAAACATTCTGTTCTTGATTAAATATCATTACCTTTCTCATCCACAAAAAAATTATATATATCTTTATCTTTATTTTTTAATTTCTAATATTATGATCGCCCGTCGTCGTCGTCGTCGCCGTCGCCGTCGTCACCTTTTGTCTCGAGGCGCAATGGCTGCCGGAACCGACCTCCCACCAGATAGATGTTCCTCAGTCCGTGTCCTCGTCCTTCATTTGTTGTCTTGTCTCGAAGGGTCATTTTTTTAATCACTTGATTAATTATAATTAATTTGGAGATTAAGTATCGTAATCAGAGTCTCGTGGAGCTCTGAATTGAAAAGAAAAAAAAAAAGGAAGGGAAAAAGGGTCAATGATTAGCGTCACGGGGGGGTCCCCGGAGGGGACCTGTGACTCGATTCCGCATCTTCACGTACACATGCAATATTAATCATATATATAATATAAGAACAAAAAAAAACTGTTCGTATCTCCTTTTTATTAACTTGAAGTACTGTGGGTGAGGATCCAAGAACAAAAATTTGGACTTATAATTTTGGGCCTAACTCTCTAAAAAAAATACCCAATTTTAGGTCCGGTCCCAATTTTACTTCGAACTTTAAAAAAAAAAAAAGAAATTCCTAACTTTAGATCTAATCTCAAATTCACCTTGGATTTTTTTTTTCTGTCTATAAAAAATTACCGACATTCAATCCAATCTCAAATCTGCCATCGTTAATCCTCCGTCCAAAAATCGCCTTGAACGGTCTGACATGACGACTGCCACGTGGATAACAAATCCACATTAGCAAAATGATATTGAAAATTATTTATAAAATGGAACACTTATTTGATATGAAAATTAGGGAAATTAGAAACGACTAACGATGATTTTTGGATGGAAAGCTAATTAGACAGGTTTGGGATTAGAGATAAAGTCGGTGCCGATTAGGAGCGGCACGCGGAATTCGACTTGACGAGGGAGACCCCATGAATAAAAATAACATAGAGGACCCGTCGTAAAACGATGCGATATAATATTTCAAACACGGGATGCTCTAACATAAGATTTGGTCGAGCGAAGCAAGGCGTGATCATCGTGGGACTCTTGCTAGCGCCCATAGATCCTAGCGGGGTTCCGGAAAAAAAAAAGATTGTTAGGTGTGCGAACGGACCCCAATTAAAGGGAATAGAGGATGTGCCATATGCAATAATCAAATCCCATAGATCTAGGATATACATACATCTCGTTCTGTAGTTAATGTGACCCATGTGGGTGAGGGTGACAAGTGCCCACAACGACCACGACAACAACAGCTAAATTCTGCTAATGTGCAAAAAGAGATATGAACTGAAAAACGAGGGGGAAGTCCCACTAGAAAGTGGATGGAATCACTTTGGAATCCCAACCCAATTTGTCAATTTTTGGACCCCACCTAATGTGAAGATTAAGTGGAGGGGTTTAGTGCTCGCTAAGGAACAAAAAGAGCACCTTGCCATCGTGCTATTTTAGACCCCTCGAAGATCCGCATGAAATTTTGTGTACCAAAAGTTCCGTTTTTTTTTTAATCGAAAAAGTTCCAATTAGTCGTGATAATCTTGTTTTTAACAATGTTCCGATTGTCTACCTTGGTGACCCAATTTTAAAATCGATTCGAGACTGGGTACTAGCTTATTGCGGGCGATCGCGGGTCGAGCATGCCGAATTAAAAGCGAGGTCTTCTTTTTCTCTCGTTGAAATTAGACGCGATCCGAGATGCACGGCTTCCCCTAGATATGGGGTCCTAGAGATTAAACCGAAGTCGAAATTGAATCCGAGGCCGTGCCACCGTCGCGAAACACCTTAGCTTTACCAACTTCATTCAAATCTCTTGCAATTAAGACGAAATATGGCGCTCCCGAAGTATCGACTGAACATTTTAGCCGGAGGATTAAGATCGCAAGCAACCGCCGAAAGCACTTTCCCATGTGTGAAATGCTAAATCCAAATCAAACATCTGCATTGTCTTCTGCCCTAATCGCTCCACAGATGGACACTACCATGAGCAACAAGAATTCCATCGTTCGAGCCTTTAAGGAGAGGAGGTCCACGTCCTTTGGTCCGTCGTGTTGTGCACATTTGGGAGGAAGACACGATTCAATCATATTCTCTATTAGTCCCACCGGCACGACACGACCCCCAAAAGTGGCTTTCGTTGAGCCATCATGGCCCCTCACCAACTGTCACATTACCCCCACCTTCCGCGACCACTGACCCACCTTTTTGCGTTTTTTTTTTTACCCTTCAATTATTATTATTTTATATCATATTATATATTTTATGAAATATATTCCACGCTCCACTCCATTTCACTTTAAATGTAATTACAATAATTACGTACCCGCTAGATCTATCAAATATAATGGATTGAGTTGTTATAACTTATATTGTTTAGTTATATTCGATAGATGAGTTTAAGCCTAATATGAGTGTTAAATGAGTTTACTACTTACTTAGACCCAACTCATTTTTACGATTCTCTCCACGTTCTCTCTCCGCCCTCACTCGGTCTCACGCTCATTTACTCCTCACTCTTACCTCATTTTGGATATGGGTTTTCCTAAATTAGATCAAATATGGAAGTGTGTTTTAATAATACGAATCAGGTTGGGTATGAGTCGGATCAGGTATGTGTAACGAGATTTGTGTTTCATGAAAATGGGTCAAAACGGGTTAAATTGAACCATTTGGATCGAAACGTTTTCGGCCCGATCCAAATCCAATCCGACTCATCCGTCTGATAGGTCTACAGTTCGCTACGGAATGATTCGAAATTCACTCGTTAACACACCGTAAATTTCTCCCATTTTTATCAACGTTACTCATTGGGTGGGTCAACGATTTGTTGGCGACGTTTGACTTCTAGGCCCGCCATCACGCGAATAGAGAGGGAAAGGAGGGAGGAACTTCTTGTGGTGTAATTTTCTCTTTGCGCTTCGGAATTTGGTAGACGATTGGTAGATGAACTAGAACAATGGGTAAAGGAAAGTTTCATAAGCAGCGAATTTCTAATGTCGATGACCCAAATCAAATGTGCTTAAGCATTGGGCAGGAGATGGAAAAGGGACAGTGGTCCTTGCTTTGGGCCATAATGGTTTGACCCATCGTGATCGAGTATTAGTTAAGTGTACCGTCTCAAGGCCCGTGACATTAATCTTGTCGTACGGTCGGCACGAATCCATTTAGACTCCCGATTGTTTCGCAGAAAATTAATGATTTAGAAAATAATCGCTTATATCTCCTGAAATAATTACACGGTGTTTTCATTATCGATAATAATTTGTCTAAATATTCCGGTGGACGATGAAGACATCTTTTATTCATTCTTTCGGAAAAATGTTTTCCAAATCCATTATTTTCCGCGAAACGAACGCGCCCTTTATATCATGTTAATCTTCCTCGGGTCACGAAATTGAAAGAACCCCGGGATTGAAAATTGAGTTGCAAAACCATGCGATTACGGCAATAGGAAAGAGAGCGATTCCAAATCGTGTTGGGGGAAAAGATTGGAATGCATTGTTGAGGCAAAAAAAGAGGCCAATGTCTGTCACTCCTTCCCTCTTGGGCGAACCCCACACGACCGGCATTGATCATGATCTCAGAGCAACTCGTGAACGTACTTGCTGAAAATCTGATCGGCGAGAGCCCGGTAGGCTGCCTCGGTGGGATGGAAGCTGTCCCAGAACACGTACTTGGTGTCGTCGGCGCACATGGCGGGGTGATCGAGACGGTTGCAGAGGTAGCTCACCTCTATGTTCCCCGTGCCGCAGCACCCTTCCGTCGAGACTTCGAACCCTAGATACAGCACAAGTTGAGGGAAGTAACACTGCCAGATTAGTACCCTCATGCAGCTCAGACAACACCAGCAAATGTATAGCGAATGTGCACACAAGCCGACATCCCGACACCGTCAACGGAAACGGAAACGGAAACGGGTTTTCTCTTGCCGGAGACAGTGGACTGATCAATGAGGACGGCAGAGAACTAATTACCGAATCGAGCAGGGTCTTGGATCATGGCGAGCAAAGGGTAGTAAATGTCGATGTACACGAGCCTAGCGCCGGGGAGGTCCTCGTTGAGGGAGGCGATCTCGGAGCAGAGCTTGGAGTTGAATTGGACGGCCGCTTCGTTGGCCGCATCGAAGCAGTGCCTCTCGAAGCCTCCGTGCAGCGTCCTCTGCGACGGGAGGCACCCTACCGGCGGCAGGCTGGCCACCCCAATTCTCCTTGCTCCTAGTCCGTACAGCTCCTGCCCACCATACAAGTCGTGAACATAGAAATGTTACGAAATTGGATGACAATTATAGACCTAATAATTTGACAACTTCAGACAGTTACTTTGAAATCGTTCACGCGCGATGTTACCTGAAGGAAACTCGAAGCCGAGCCGACCATGAGATCGGTGTAGGACGAGACGTCGTACTCGGATCTTCTCAACGGCATCGTGAAGTAAGTGTTGGTTATGTCGTTGGCGCCGGTGCACACTATGTAGAAGCTCTCGGACGCGATGGCTGACGCTCGCTCCTCCCCGACCTCCGAACGCACAGTTTCCATGTACTCGGAGTAGAGATCCAACTGATCCGACAAGGACAGTACCAACTGTCGACAAAATTAAACACGGACTAGATTAAGTTTCAATAACCCATTGTATTATTTAGCGATCAGGGACTGAATTCCCGTGTTAGATTTAAAGCATTGCGCATATCTCGATTTTCTAGGCAATCGAATGTATGTAATACCGATATTCGGTCAACCATCTGGGTTTTGACTCGTGTCTTATTCGATTCATAACTTCAGTTGTGTATCGAGAGAAAGAGATTACCGCTGCTTCGGCAGAGAGCGGATCGTATCCGTTAGCTCCGGAGGCGAAGCTCACGCCGGTGAGGAGGTCTTGGAGCTCCAGATTTGGATCCATATAAGCTGGCAAGAGCTTCTTAACTCCCAATTTCTCGGCTACAAAAAAATTTAAAAAATTCCATTGAAGGGTAACTAAAATTATCGATTACGTGCCAAATTATCGAAAAGAAAAATAGAACTAAATGTATCAAAGTCTATAAGTTGAACGAAATGTATAATTCCTGAAACTCGGGACGAGCAAGATCAGTCAAAGTACACATTTTGCACCTCCCACTTTCAAAGTACAAATTTTTCGCGGCTTATGATTTCGAAAGTCAAGTAAACTCTCGAGCTAAAATCCGAGAAGACTGTACTAAATAGAGGATGCAAAAGTCTACATTTGTTTTCAAAACAGATGACTCGAAGCGTAACGAAAGAGAGAATCGAGGGTGCTTTCAATTTCATCGTTTAAATCAAAACGCAATCTTGCACTTTACATTTTTGGAAAAGAAATCCGCGAACTCGACATCGACATTTTATTGCTGTTTTACCGCAAACAGAATAGATATCTTAGACATGATGTACAAGATCAATCATACGGTATTTTAGAGAACGAACGACTTCTTCTAGTGGGTGCATTTAATTTCGTGTGATGAACGATCTCTATCGCGTGTCTTGATGCATAGAGAAAGAAGATGGTGTAGAGATGAGATGAAGACACGCGGAGAAATGGCAAATGATTGGACATTGGGACTCGTGAATACTGTGCTCGTGCGAGTGGGGGTCGGTTAACAGCTAATCTGGTCTGGTCTGGTCTGGTCTGGTCTTCCACATTCCCACCGTCGTACGCAGAAGAAGAAACGGAGCGAGAGAGACAGAGAGAGTAGAGATGCGCGCGTACCCAACATGTCGGAAGGGACACGGCCGTTGCTGAACCGGCCGATCGGCACCCCCGGGTCGAGATCCCGGCCGTAGGGCGGGAAGTTGCACTTGGCCACGGTCGCCAGGCCGTTGTTGTTCCCCGGGTCCACGATGGAGTCCCCGAACGCGAAGGCCGCCGGCACCGTCGTGTTGGCGGCCCCATGGGCGGCTCCATGGCGCGGGGAGGCGAGCACCACGGCGGCGGCCCAAAGGGCGGCGAGCAGGAGCTTCGGGTCGAGCGGCGGTCGCCGAGGGCCGAATTCGCGAGAGAACGAGCTCATTGAGGAAGAAGAAGAGGAGGAGGAGGAGGAGGAGGAAGAGAGGGAGTGAAGCTGAGGGAGGAAGAGGTTTTTACGTTGTCGTTTTTTTTTGGGTATCGTTTGGGAATGCGATGAGAATTTAAGGGTGGGGGGCGGTCGTGGCCTGGCCGCGGGTCATGTGTGTGGATGTGTGGGTGTGCAGTGTTCTTTCATGCACTTACTTACATAAATAAATAAATAAATATGTAATATTATATATATATATATATATATATATATATATATATATGTATGCATGTGTACATGCACGCGTATACAGATCAATCATGTGAGTGGGATCGGGCTAGTTGGGCCCCACATGGGCCCCACAATCGCTGGCGTGAACGATTATTATAATTTTTTAATAGTATCTTCTTCTTCTCTTTTTGTGATCGCGCGACCCTCGCCGGCACTAGGCAAGGGCAATGACGCCCTCACGGGCCACAACGAGGGCTCGCGACCCCTTGCCCAAATCTGGCGAGGGCTAGCAAGGGCGGTCTCGACTCTCGCTCGTGGCCGGCCATGCCGCGTAAGACGATCGGCATCCATGTTAGCTATTTCTAGTGAAAATTAACCGGAATGACTATATTGATAAATCGTCGAAAGGTTTAAAACCAAATTTGCCAAATTGAAAGGTTTAAGATCGAATCGGCTATGATTTTTCTTGGATAATTTTCCCGATAAGCTGGTGATGTTGATCGAGGATGAAACCGCGTTACGCCGCCCACCACATTAGCATCGGGAGTCACCTTCGTGAATCGATGACTTAGCGTAAGCCTAAAAAGCTTTACTCTGTTCATGCGTGGATTTCTAACGTGGAAAGAGGGGAAAAGGGTTCGTGTCCCGCGGCTTTTCAAAACGACGCGATTCTTCGCCGCATCTTACCGTTCCAGCCCCTAAAAAGTCCCATTCTCTTTCGTGAGTCGTGATCTTGAGCGTCGAAAGTCCATTCTCTTTCGTGGACGAAAAGTCGTGTTGGTCTATTCCCAGGAGCGATTGCAGTTTCTCAACCTAAAAAGTCGCACTTTTTGAGTGATCACGCGGGATGTCAGAGCCGTAACTCTGAAGATCACAGCACGTTTTCAGAAGTTGCATCTTCTTATTTTCCAGAAGTTGCATATCTCGCCCTCTTTTATTAAGGATAAATGCATTCGAAATCTTTAAACTTTTCACATAAATCCAATTGAGTCCTAACATTTAAAAAAAAGGGCAATTAAATCACAAAACTTATCACTAAAATGCAATTTAGTCTTTTCATCGTACTTTTTAAAAATGTTAGCACTCGATTGCCCTTTCGCGACAATTTTTTACGACTTGATTGCACTATTTGAAAATTTCAGAACTCGATTGAACTTTCACGATAAATTTTAGAATTCGATTGCACTTTCGTGATAATGTTTAAAATTTCCTGCGTATTTACCCCATTTTATTAACAACGACGTTCATGGTAAATTCGTTCATGGAATAATCTATTATAAAAATCACTAGTGAGTAATCTAGTAAAGTAAAAGTGACTAATCAAAAGATTATTAACGTTGGCTTAAAACACGTTTGAACACTAATCAATGGATTAAGGGCCCGTTTAGTAAGTTGCCAAATAGTTAAAAATTTCTGTTCTTTTGTTCCTAGAATCAGTTTGGGAACAGAAATCCATTTGTTAAAATTTTTGTGCCCGAGCACAAATTTGTGAAAAATTGTTTTCAGAATCAGTTTTGGAACAGAATCAAGAAGCAAAAAAAAAAATAGCTTCTTGATTCTGGAAATAATTTTTCAGCTTTTTATTCTTCTTGGTTTTCTTCTTCCTCTTGGTTTGTTGTTTTTTGCCTGCCGTCGGCCACTGGCGATCGGCCATCAGCGATCAGCCACAGCCTAGGGCCAGTGAGGGCGGCTTGCGGCCACGACAGCGAGGCCTTGCCCAGCCATGGCGAGGCCGACGTCACTGTCGCGACCGGCGAGGGCGGCGATGCCCTCACCGATGCCGACGACCAGCCATGGCCAAGGAAGGGAAGGGAAAGAAAGAAAAAAAAGGAGGAAAATAAAAGGAAAATAAAAGAAAGAAATATTAAAATGTTCAAAATATTGTTAAAATATTATTAATAAAAAGAAATTCTGTGCAGTTACCAAACGCATTTATGTTCTTTTTCTATTCTAAGAATAGAAATTTTGGGCAGTTACCAAATGCCTTCAAATGCTTAGAAATTGTTCCCGGATATGGAATAAAAAAGAATTATTTCTGAGCAAAATCAATTTTCGGGCACAAAATCGTTGCCATGCACACCCTAAATATAATTTCTGGTCAAAAAAGAAAGGATTAAGTATAATGGGATGGATGGGTCTAAAAATAGAAAATCCCATTGAAACAAACTTCAATGGGCGGTGTCCAATTAGAACATCTACGACAACGGCCCATCAAGCTCAATGGACCGGGTCTTCTATTAGGAACAAAGTGGAATGCCCGATCTAACATAGAAGATTAGAAATTTAGAAGTGCTTAACCAATCTTTTCTTTTTTTGGATGGTGTTATCTTTATATTTTCTGCATATAGTAAATTTATATTACAATCCATATGAATTTGAGTTGTAATCGCTAATCTAACATTCGACGAAGTGAACAGAAAACCTTTCTACTGTTACACGAATCCGATTTTCATTTCATCCGGCCATACGTAACATAGAAACTACACTTGGAAAAAAAAAGGATGTGGGTATGTTAGGAATAGTGGAAAAATGTCTAAAAAGTCCTAAACCTATTTTACGCCGGCCAATTTAGTTATAAATCTTTCGATTGTGCCAATTTAGTACTACCGGCTAAAATTGGCCGGAAATCGCTGATGTGCCGGTGTAATCAGCGCTGGCCGTCCATCAGCACCGACCGTCCAACGTGACATGGGTTCGGGATTGAATTAGCGGTCGTACAATAAGTTTAGGGCTTTATGGATAATTTTCCCTAGAAACAGCCTTTACAGTCCAGGTATATATAACGAGTCAATCCCGTAATATTCTGGCAATGTAATAGTCACCGTTGCGATTGAGCGTGTCGACGTTCGTACGTGGCCAATGCGAACACTACTAGAGACGCCCTACAGAAACACAAATCTCCTAAAACCTACCATTCTTCCGGGGAATAGTAGCCTTTCTAGAACATGTGCTGGCTGCCACTAAGCAAATCTCAAAGCTTCCATCTATCATTTTTGGCAAAATGCAAACGAAGGTGGAGCGAAGGGACACGTAAATCGCTGTGTCCGAAGACCATTCGCGCTTTCTTTCCCCGATCCTGATCATCGAGCCCCGGACATATTCAAACTTTCTCATCATGAGCACCGTTGAAATTACCTAATTAAGGATTAACATTAACAACTCTTACGTGTCCAATTCGATATCTGAACGCACTTACTTCACCGAAAACTTCTCAATAAAGAATAATATTTTGAGTTAAAACAACGAAAAACTCCAAATTGATGTACCTATCAATTGCCACGTATTATTCAGCTCGGCTATTTAAACGTAAAATTTAACGAAAATAATTAATGGTAAATTTGTCACGAGTGTATTAGTTTGGAGTTTTTTGTCGTCGAAAAATTAGCTTGGAGTAAATTTGTCACGACTGTACCAGTTCGGGATTTTTCGTGGTATTAACCCAAATATTTTTTGTGAATATAATTTTCGACGAAAATAGTTAGTTTTCCTTGAAATAACTTTTATTTAGAATAGCAAAGATCTCAAGACATACAATATCCACATACTACAATTGAGGGGGGAGGGGGGGGGGGGGTTTCAACTCAAGGGTGCAACTGCTTATGTATGTTGATGCATATTCATAATAAATTTGAACTTCCGTGTATAAATAATATGTTCTTTGCATGCAGGACATCTATCTATCGAAGAACAGACTTTGACCATGTAAGTCTATTGCAAAACAATGGAAATAATATTTTCCAATGGGCAGAACATGCCCAGACCTAGAGATCATTTAGCTTTGCGTGCACGATCGGTCGTGAAGCAGGCTTTGACATTATGGACGGATTTTACAATCTCAACGAGCGTCCGACCCACCAAAAGACGAACATACATCCTACATCTTATGTAATCCGTGCTCGCGAAACGAGAAACAACGAAATCCCGAGGGATTACAAAGTTACAATCTGTGAATCCCAAACGGTAGCGAGTCGTTGATGGGTATCCGAAAAAGACTGAAATCGGTCATTATATGGATGGATCCCCCCGGGGACTAGGAACTCGCCAATTCTCGGACGGCGAAGTGGGAAGCGGGCCCGTGACTCGAAGAGACAAGAGGGAAACCGTGGTCGGTTTCGCCGGCCGGTCTAGCCACGACCTGGTCAGCCAGCTCGAACCGACATTTGCCCCTTCTCTGCAGTTACTCCCACTACTCTTCTTAGTTCCTTCCCCATGCAGATAAAAGTCTGCTGGCAAAAGGACCCCACATCCTTTCCCTCGTTCCCGTGACATGGGCATCCATCCATGACTGGTCCACGTGTCGAGCCGACACGTGTCCGGGCACGGAGCGGCACACGTGGCGTGGAGCAGCAGTTGGTGGGCTGGCCTTATTTATACCGGGATGTAGATCGGAGCTTCCCTACTCAGAACTCGAGCTGGTTCCTGCTTCACTGATCAAGAAGAGTGCGTGCCGGTTGATTTTATCTTTTGCAGGCTTACGGAAAGGATCGATAATCGTTTGGGAGTGTGATGGGGTTCTTGGATTACGTCGCCGATGTTTGCTACGTGCCTCGCAACGACAGCAGGAAGCTCAGGAAGCGCAAGCAGCTCCAGGTAACTCTAACGTTTCGATCTGTGTTTTAGCTTTTGCCTCTTTTGTCTGTGTTGCTGGTTTTTTGAGATGTTGATGGTCTTTGTCTTGGTCGTTTGTGCAGACGGTGGAGATAAAGATAAAGATGGACTGCGAGGGGTGCGTGAGGAGGGTGCGGAAGTCGGTGGAGGGCATGAAGGGGGTGACCCAGGTGGAGGTCGAGCCCAAGCAGAGCAAGCTGACCGTGGTTGGCTACGTCGACCCGGGGAAGGTGCTCCGACGGGTCCGGCACCGCACCGGCAAGGTCTGCGACTTCTGGCCCTACGTGCCCTACGACGTGGTGGACCACCCCTATGCCCCTGGCGCCTACGACAAGAAGGCCCCGCCGGGGTACGTCCGGAATGTGCTCCAGGACCCGCAGGCCTCAGCCCTCGCCCGCGCCAGCTCCACCGAGGTCACGTACACCACCGCCTTCAGCGACGACAACCCTAATGCGTGTGTAGTCATGTAGATAACAGGAGTGGAGATTCGTGTGTATGTATTTTGCTGGTATGTATGTGCAGGGTTTGTGTGATTATTTGGAAGTGGAGGAGTGTTGGACTGTGTTATGAACTTGGAAGAGTCTGGGGTCTGAAGCTTTGTCAGCTAGAGAAAAGAAAAGAAGAAATTGTAATGATTATTCTAGATTGGTAAGGAGAATTTGCGTCTTCTGTTCGACTGTGCCAATCATTGTTTGACGAGTTTCATATTCTGGAAAGGACTGTCTCGCAGAGCTCGGTCCCACGACGAAGGGGGCTGGATCTTGGTTTCGACTTTTGCTGGGACGTGATCAGAACAAGGCGTGGAGTCTGCTGTTCTGTGATACGATCCTCGGGTTCAAGAAGCTTGCAAGAGTCAAAGAACCTGTTGTGTTCATGGCTCTTTCGCAAGCATAATCTGGCTTGATCCGCCCGGGTGCTTTAGACGTTAGACTCTGCTGGAAACTGTTCTATGATTTAGGATTACAAGTAGAAGTTAAGCTCAAAAGAAGGGTTGATCTGATTTATCCTGAAGAAACCCTAAAACGGGCTAATTTTTTCAAAGCACCAGTTACATTTAAATCTATCTCAAACTGACTATTTGTACTTGGCAATAACGTGTCGAACGACTCTTTGTACTAGGCCAACATCGGGCGGCTCGAGTTCGGGGCTTCAGCTCCAACTTCGACTTTGGGTCGGGTTCTGAACTCGCCAACGGTGGAGTGATCACTGATCAGGCCATCAGCCAAGTTGGGGTAATAAGGAGGTGCATCTGTTCCCCTCTCTCTTTCCTTGTTGTTTTTTGTACGAATTATTTCGCCTTGGCCAATTTGGGCCAAGCCGATGGCCACTTGGGCGGTCACAACGACGTTGCTGAGGCCATTGGTTGCGATTGCTGACTTTCCAAAAATGACTACAAAGCCTAAGCAAGGAAGGACTTGCCTTAGACTTTGGGCTTTGTCAACGCTAGTCTTCATTCGAAGAGGTCCAAGTTTTTTTTACCAGATGCCCCATGATTACGGGGAAAATCCTAAAAAGCTTTCTCCATTAGGCAATGCAGCTAAATTTGGTCAACCGAGTCTAACTTTTGAAAATATGCAATCAAATCCTCATCACATTCATCGTCGACATTTGTCGACATTAGCGTAAGCCATGTTAACCAATATTATACGGTTGGCGCTCAATTGACCAACTGTCGACAAAATTAAACGCGGACTAGATTAAGTTTTAATAACCCAATGTACTATTTAACGATCGAGGATTGAATTCCCGTGTTAGATTTAAAGCATTGCGCATATCTCGATTCTCTAGGCAGTCGAATGTACGTAATACCGATATTTGGTCAATCGTCTAGGTTTTGACTCGTATCTTATCCGATTCATAACTTCAGTTGTGTATCGAGAGAGAGAGAGATTACGGCTACTTCGGCAGAGAGCGGATCGTATCCGTTAGCTCCGGAGGCGAAGCTCACGCCGGTGAGGAGGTCTTGGAGCTCCAGATTTGGATCCATATAAGCTGGCAAGAGCTCCTTAACTCCCAATTTCTCAGCTACAAAAAAAATTAAAAAAATCATCGAAGGGTAATTAAAATTATAGATTATGCACCAAATTATCTAAAAAAAAATAGAACTAAACGTGTCAAAGTCTATAAGTTGAACGAAATGCATAATTGCTGAAACTCGGCACGAGCAAGATCAGTCGAAGTACACATTTTGCACCTCCCACTTTCAAAGTATAAATTTTTCACGTAAACTCTCGAGCTAAAATCCGAGAAGACTATGCGAAATAGAGGATGCAAAAGTTTACATTTGTTTTCAAATCAGATGACTAGAAGCGTAATGAAAGAGAGAATCGAGGGTGCTTTCAATTTCCTCGTTCAAATCAAAACACAATTTTGCGCTTTACATTTTTGGAAAAGAAATCCGCGGACTCGACATTGTTGACACCCGAATTTTCATCAATCATCCAAGCATCCCTTTTTTTTTTGCAAAATTATAAAATAGAAATGTTCGGAAAAAAAAAAAGAGAGAGAAGAAAATAAGTTGGCCTCTCTAAATCCATGACACTCAGTTCAAGCCTAATAATAGCTCATTCACGCATGTTTTTGGGCTTGCAAAATTGAAATTCACTTAAGCCCAAAAGAACACAAAAAACTCGGCCCAAGTCCTCATTTTTCAGCCTTTTTCCTTCTCTCTATCAAGAAGAACATGTGAGAGGACAGTGAAGAAGAAGCTGTGACCATCGCGTCTGTCACCGAGAAGAACGCGCGGTGACGAACGGAAGGTGAGGTAATTAGATCCATGAGAAAACTTCTCCCTTTCCTCTTCCATTCATCATCTCTGGAGGCTACCAGAGATTCGGATCGCTTGCCGAAGTACAAGTTTCCGAAACCGATTTCATCATTTTTTCATCTAAAATCACGTCAAAATCGTAGTTCATTCGTCGAGAAAGAGGAAGCATAGCCGGACGTCCCTTGCCGTCGCTGATTGAAGCTCCATTTCTGTCCAGGTGAGTTACTTAGATATGCCTTGCTTTGCTCTGTTTTTTACTCATCTATGGAGCTTGAAAGCCTTGGACTGAATCAATGAGACTTTGGATCAATAGTGTGATATTGAAGCTGTGCCATGGAACATAGTGATGATTTGGATTGTGATATATCATTGTCAAGCCGAGAATTGCTCTGAAACTGAGTCTTGAATTTATGTTTTAAGTCGTACATCAACTGTTCGTTGAAATGGTTGAATGAGATGTTATGATTTTAGAATACCGAATTTGATTGTGAAAATTCTAAGTGAGTTATGATAAACTGAGACTGAGTTGATGTGAAATACGCTGGTTTAGATCTTCATACATTACAATCAGACCGAAAATTGTGTTGGATCTCACTTTAGAACATATATTTTAATTCGCATATCATATGTTTGATGAAATGCCAAAGAGACGATTGAATCTAAATCTGTGATTAAACTTAGAATCAATTCATGTTTTGCTCTCATAATCGTCAGACTTTATCTGACTTCGAATTTCTTTGTGTTTTTTTTGGTGATTTCCGTAAACTTTTGTGGCATATTCATCATTCGTCCGAGTCGACTATGGTTGAAATTTCTGCTGGATTCATTCCCCTCGCCGGAGGTATGCCCACGGTTTGAGGCCGCCACCGTTAGTTTTCTATCTCTGTTTCATACGTGTGATTGCTTGTTTGTTTAGATTTAGGATTTGTTGTTGTGATCGGAAGTTTGCTGGCCGTAAAATGGAATTTGGTTGTCGGAGTTTATTTTTGTGGCCGGTGTGTGATGAGGGACGATGGTCGCTGTAAGTTGTAGTCAACGGAAGTTCGGCGATGGTCGGAATAGATGGCCGACAGCGAGGGTTAGAGAATCGATGGTAATGGATTTACGACGGTGTTAGTGATGTTTTGGTGAAGAAGCTCTCGCAATACAGGTCTCGAGAAGAAGAAGACCAGAATAAAAGAGAAAAGAAAAAGAAATAGAAAATAGAAAAAATAATAAAAAAAAGGAAATAAAAGATTCGTATCAGGTTGCAAATCAGGCTGAACCAAAGATGTTGTGGGCCAAGGGAATAAGCTGGGCCAGATAGAGAAAGATGTGGGCCGAGATAGTATTAGGCCAGATGAAATTTGATAATTCGGTTTTATCCGGATTGGGACAGTCCGAATTTAGACCCAACTTTGGGCCTTCTGGGTCCGGGTCAGACTAGGAAATCAGACCGGTTTCCCCTGACCCGGTCCGAAATCCATTTTCCAAAAAAAAAATTAAAAAATTAAAGAATTTTAAAAAAAATTCAGAAAATTCAGAAAAATAAAAAATGTGAAAAAAGCTAAAAAGATGTAGAATTCTCTTAGTTCGGGGCTTTTAATAAATACTTTTGGCTTGAATAAAAAATTGAACCCATAATTGAATAAGCCTTTAGGGCTTTACCTTAGGGATTTTTGTTGTTGTTTTTTTTTTTAGAGACGATGTCAGGTCGCTGTTTATCACTTTCATTTGGATTTCATTTGATTGCGCGCTTTAAATTCATTAATTGTTGTTTTCTCTTTTTAGAATGGTTAGGATGAAAATTCAAAATTCTTGATTAGTAAAAGATTGTTGTGACATTTTGGTTAGCAAATAGTCGAGTTTAGGTACCAAAATGACATTAGTTGAAAAACTAGTGTAATCAAGTTCCCGATCCCTAAGAATCTCTGGTTGCATATGTTTTCGAGATAACACTCCTGTATATTGATTAGGGTTTCTAGCCGACCCTTAATCGTGGCTAGTGGCGACTCCTATCGATCAAATAAATTTAAACAACTAATGACACGTGAGGTATGAACTTAGGGAGAATTCAATAAAGTACCTCTAAACCTACTTCCCCGAAGCGGCTGACGAGGGATTTAGGTCGTGACAGCTTGGCGACTCCGCTGGGGATCGTGAGGACTTAGGCCTAATAAACTTGATTGTTTGTTAACTAACGTGTTTTTATGGCAGCGCATCGTGAAGATTGAGGTAAGTGCACTAACTTTTGTGTTAAATGTTGTCGCAGGTGGGGAGTTATAAGGGGTGACGTCTTTGTTAATTTATTTGTTTTGCAGGTTGGAGTAAAGAATGCATGTGTATATTAATGAAATAGAAGTGCTATCTTAATATAAAATGATGTGCATGCCTTTATACTTGTTTTAGCACTACACTCTTTACACACACAATCCGTGGTTAAACCCCGACCGCATCCTTAGGAAACCCTTAGGAGGTGTCGAGGATTGATTGGACCATACGCAGTTTGCGCCAATGGGACAATTATTCTCGATCCTGCTCATTTCCTCGAAAGAATAAGTCCAACCCACTTGTAGTTTGTGATATTGGGAAAAGGCTTACTATTTCGTTGAGATGGGAGCCTTGAGCCTATAGTAACCCTACCTTTATGTGTCAAAACCTCACTAGTACATCTGTATGTCTATGTGATTGAAAATTCGTCTCGCCAAATCACTGTGAGTATATTCCTTAACTCTTTTTTTTTTAAATCTATGCACTTCTTTTTATTATATATATTT